CAGGGATCCCCTATTTATTTATTTAATTGAGAAAGAGCATGAGTGAGTGGTGTGGGGAGGGGCAGAGGGAGAAGGAGAAGCAGGTTCCCTGCTAAGCAGGTAGCCCAACGTGGGGCTTGATTTCAGGACCCTGAGATCATGACCTGAGCCAAAGGCAGACACTTAACTGACTGAACCACTCAAGCACCCTTCTTAGCATTCTTTTCTATACATTTCTATAAATTTGAAGCAGAGCTTCAAATGACAGAGTCAGTGACATTCATGCTACTGAACTTCCAACTTTCTTGATTAATGACCAAAAGCCTCATAGGCCAGTGATTTCTCTGGAGCAATTCCCAGGCTCTGACTATTCCCACTTTAAAAGTCACTGGTAGGGCAGCTTGGGTGGCTCAACAGTTTGGCACTGCCTTCAGCCCAAGGCGTGATCCTGGAGACCCGGGATCGAGTCCCACGTCAGGCTCCCGGCATGGAGCCTGCTTCTCCCTCTGCCTGTGTCTCTGCCTCTCTCTCTCTCTCTCTCTCTGTCTCTCATGAATAAATAAAATCTCTAAAAAAATAAAATAAAAGTCACTGGTAGCAGAGGGCCTAGTTGCTAATTTTGCAGAAGTCGAAAGTCAGTGACCTTATGAGTAAAACATTTTTCTAAACTTCATCTTGTTTTATGAGTTCAAATGGAAAGTCAAGTCTTAATTCCCAGCGAGAGTCACAAGGAGGTGATAACAAACTGAGCCCAAGGCTTTGGAACTTGAGAACATCTCTCTGTGACTATTTGTCAAGACTGCTTCTGTTTATTGTACCACCTCTTCTTCATAGAACCTTCTTTCTCTACTCTTCCATTAACCCAAAAATAGTCCAAAGAGACTCTTATCTGATTAACTCATTCTAGGGAATTGTGACAAAGACCACTGTCCCCAAATTGTTATTCTCCCTCTTTTCTTTCAATAATAGAATCCCTGATTTTTAAAAAAGAAGTCATTTTTTATTTTTAATTGAGATATAATTTACATATCAAAAAACTTGCTATTTTGAAGTGTACAATTCAATATTGTGTGTGTGGTTTTTTTTTAGCACATTCACAAGGTTGTATGATCATCATTATCAATTCCTGATCGTTTCATCATCCTAAAATAAACCCCATACCTAGTAGCAGTTGCTCCCAATTTCCTCCTCTCTCCTGCCTCTCTGGCTACCATTCATCTACTTTTGAGCTCTGTGGATTTTTCTGTTCTGGACATTTCGTGTAGTTAGAGTCATGTAATACATGGCCTTTTATGTCTGGCTTCTTTTATTTAGCATATTGTTTTCAAATTCAGTCACATTGTAGCATGTATAAGTACTCTTATTTTTTTACTACCTAATAATATGAAATAATATTGTTAGAAATAATAATGTTCCATTGTATGGAACCATAATACCATATTTTGTTTATCCACCTATAGTTGATGGACATTCAGGCTGTTTCCCATTTGTTGGCTGTTATAAATAATGGTACTATCAGCATCCATGTGCAAGTGTTGGCGTGGACAGATATTTTCAATCTCTTGAGTGGAGCAGGCACAGTCCTGGCCCTTAGAACCTTGGCTCTGTCATGTCATCTGTTTGAGCCTCAATTGTAGTATCTGTAAAATGAGGATATTGATACTTATGCCTCATCTTCCCATTCCCCACGATGACTTTACCATAGCCTTTCCTCTCTCCTCAAACTTTCAACACCCTCTCACCATCACTATTTTGAGCTGATGGACTTGCTTCTTATTCTACTGAGAAAATAAAAGCAATCAGAAAAGAGCTCCTTCACCCTCCTCCATTTAATCTACCAACCTGTCACATGTATCAGTCTGAGCACACTGTCCCTGCTTCTATCACCATCACATGTGATTTGGATCTCACTCCTTTTTTGTCTATTCAAGGACCATGCTCCTACAATTGTCATATCACTTTCTATCTTCAGTTGCCCCCCACCTTTCCAGGGCATTCTCCTCAGTATACAAATAACTGAAAAAATGTAGTTTCCGTATTTCTCGGTTTCTCTCAGACTTTTATGTTTTCTTTCAGCTAACTGGAGTTAGATTTCTGTCATTTCCAATGGAAAAAGGCCTGATTAATAAAGGAAATCTAGATAGGTGCCTGTATCTATATCTCTATATCAATATCTCTAAAAAAACAACTTGTGTCTTTTTCCCAACTGATCTTCAGTAGGTAAAAGGCTCCAGCTCAGGAGTTCATTATTGTTCTCCCCAGATGACATAGCAACTCTAAATTGTCCATCTTTGAACTTCCTGTCACCCAGGGATTTCAGATACAGTGGCTGTGGCTATGGATGTTTGAAATCCACCCTCCCAATAGTTTAATAGGGACAGATACTTTTACATGAAACATTTAAAATTTTTCTCATGTTTTCATAAAAATTCCTTACATAGTTTTTCACAGATTATCTGTTGAAGAGGAGGATATTTGGCTTCAGAATTTATATGAGAGGCATTTTATTTTAAAGACAGTAAAGTAAGTGGGAAACAGTGCTTCATACTGAGCAGTCTACATTTAATTAAATGAATGATTAGATGAACTAATGAATGAATGAACAATTTGCAAATGTATTGTATTCCCAGAGTTGGTTTTGTAACTTAGTTGTTTTCAATTTGGGATGAATCCTCCTATAGAAACAATGTTATAAATGACACTTAAGTGACAAGAAATCCCACTGAGGCTGTTTACCCATAATGTAGTAATAAAATGTAGAAAAGTAATGGCATTGTGTAAAAACACTTAAGTGATTTTGGATACAGGTGTTCGAGGAAAAGTGACTTTAATTAGGAAATAAGGTGGCACATAAAAATGTTGTGGTGATTCCCTAGGAGACTTCTGAGACCTTTCAATGATCATGGAGGGGATTGTGTCTTTTTTAACATCTGTTTTCATATTAAAGTGTATGCATTTCTTTTTTTTAATTTTTATTTATTTATGATAGTCACACAGAGAGAGAGAGAGAGAGAGAGGCAGAGACATAGGCAGAGGGAGAGGGAGAGGGAGAAGCAGGCTCCATGCACCGGGAGCCTGACGTGGGATTCGATCCCGGGTCTCCAGGATCGCGCCCTGGGCCAAAGGCAGGCGCTAAACCGCTGCGCCACCCAGGGATCCCTGTGTATGCATTTCTTTCTCTTGCTATAATCCTACACCATTCTTATCATCAGCAGGATCTTTATTGTCTGGCAGGCAATTAATAATTGTTTTCAGTTGGGTGCAAGAATGAGAACAAAGCAAGATGGATGGTTGGGGGGAAATTTCTTTTAAGTAATTGGAAAAGAGTTGCAAGAGATGAGTGTCATAAACTAGTATTTGTTATCCCATGTCTCAGTATTCAGATAAAAAGAAGATGATGCAGTAATCTCTTGAGAGGCTTACTATTTACACAGGGAGTGAGGTCTATACAGAGAAAGAAAAGGCACTACTTGGTAAGATACCTTGGATGTCAATCAAGGAGATGGCTGTTCAGAGTGGGTAGTGACCTCTGGGGCCAGGGAGGGGGAAGGAAGAGCTGGAGTCTGGCCTTTGGAAGAGGATTTTGGTCAGGAGACAGTTGAGAGAGTAGATAAGATGAAACTAACTGAACGGTACTCATGATAGAAATGATAGGAAATACAGGAGAAGGAAGAAACATGGTGTGAGCATGAATCTACCCAAGAAGAGAATATAGTAGGGAAAAGGATGCTGGATGATTTTCCTATGGAGGCCATACGATGGCTCAGGAAAGGTTGGTGCTGGCTACAGCCAACTGGGAATAATGGCCCTGGAGTCTCCAAGTGACCAGGCAGCCTGCCATCAGAATTTCAGAGGTGTTTGGAACTCAGCCTGTACCTTAAACACCTCGGTGTTTCTATAGCATCTAATTTTATCATATCCTGCCTGTTGATTTTGCTAATGTGTTCTACTGGATAAGTCTTTTTTTTTTTTTTTTAAGATTTTATTTATTCATGAGAGACATAGAGAGAGGCAGAGATACAGGCAGAGGGAGAAGCAGGTTCTCCGCAGGAAAGCCCGATGAGGGACTCCATCCCAGGACCTTGAGCCAAAGGAAGACGCCCAACCCCTGAGCCTCCCAGACGCCCCTCTACTGGATAAATCTTACTGATTCGTAAGGAAGGGGCTTCTGAACCCCTGCCTTTGGTATAAGAAGACCTCACGGTCCATTTGCAGGTACTCCCCCAGGGCTCCCCCTTCCTCCCTCCTCTTCCTCCGCCTTTCCTTGTGTGACCCTGACCAAGTCCCTCACTCTGGGGGCCGTTTTCTTACCTCTAGATGAGAACAACTGAACTAGATGATGGATGCCTTCCAGCTCTAAACAGTAGCTTGATCAATTTTCCAAATGAGAAAACACAGCCAACCCTGAGGATGAGGTCTGATTCTACCGCTCCAGTCATATAGCTCTGGTTTGCAAGATGCTTACTTCTGAAGAACGGCGCACGCAGATGATTCAACTATCCTTTTTTTTTTTTCTCTCTCTCTCTACAATTAGGTGCGACCGCTCTGCGCTGCGAGCGGTCACGGGGCACTGGGATTTATCTAGAAAAGGTGGTGTGGCAAGGGTTGGCTCTTCCCTCCCGTTCAGGAAGTGGCGAGGGTCACAGCGGCAAACACCTGTTCGCCCCTAAGTCCTTCCAATCGAAAGTCTCCCGAGTAGGTGCCAAGTAGATAAAACCTTATCGTTCCGCCCTCGAGTTCCCCGTTTGGGGCTTTAATAAGCCGCGACCAGCGCCACGCACCCGACTGCGTCACTGAACACCTCGACACCTCCCGCGACCCCTGAACCGCGAGGCCGGCGCTAGGCTCGGCCGGGTCCCGCGAGGCGCGGGGCGGCGCGGCGGAAGCGAGGCCGCCACACTTCCGGCGGCGCGGCCGCGCGCTCGCCACACTTCCTGTTGATCCGGCTCCGCGGAGGGCTGGGCGGGGAGGGGGCGGGCCCGGGGCGGGCCGGGGGGCGGGCCGGGGCGCGGGAGGCGGCCTCTGGCCAGGCGTGGGCGCGCGCGGGGCCGCGGCAGGCACGGAGCGTCTGCCTCGTAGCTTCATTCCGGAGCACCCTTGGCGGCCGCGCCTCCCGCACTCCGTCCTTCTGTCCGGCCCCGCGCCGCCATGCCCGCCGTCGACAAGCTCCTGCTGGAGGAGGCGTTGCAGGACAGCCCCCAGGTACCGCCCGCCGCCCCGGTGCTCTCGCCCTGCGGGGACTGGAGGCCGGGGCGGCCCCTCGAGCACGGGGGTGGAGGCCGGGAGCACGCAGGGGGCCGCCCGGGGGCCGGGAGGGGGCACCCCTCAGGCGGGGCTGCAGAACCCGAGAAAGCCCTTCGCCGCCGGAGTCTTGGTGTCGTGACCCCTTCGGAGTCAGCCGACACTGACGCTGCCCGGCCTAAACTCCGGCTCCACCGCTCCGCTGAGTGCCTCGGACAAACAACCTTTGTGTGCCGCAGTTTTGTCATCTGTAACCCGGGGACAATAATTGTACCCGCCTCGTGGCGTTGTCAGGATGCCAGTAAAGTTGTTGGCGGGCAACGTCCTGTATAGAAGTTGTCATCGTTATTATTATTACTACTGCTGCTGATGCGATGGGCCCTAGTGGATTTAGGGCCAAGATGGGAGGCAGAGAGCCCAGCTCTTTCCCAGCAGGACCCTTCCGCACGCTTTTCCTGTTTTGTCAAGAGAATATGACAACACCTGCCCCACTGTCGCACGGAGGGATTTCATTAGCGAGACCAAAGTTAAGTCCTTCGAGCTCTGCAGATGAAAGTTGCCGTGTAAAGGTAGCGGATGAGTGCTGGATGACATTAGTTCATAATTCAGTGCCCTTCTCTTCAGGGAACTTGTGTTCGCCATTAGCATTTCCCCGGCTGTGGCTTCCTATCAGCTCTCCTGGTTCTGTATCCCTGGGTTATTAATAAGTCTTTTTAGCCCCCGATGTCTCAACTCTTCAGAAATTCAAATGAGATTAACCTGTTTTCCATCTCCGTTCGGTTCCTTTTTCTTAGCAAATTGCACTCCTGGGAGGAATTTATTTTATTTTCTTTAAGATTTTATGTATGTGTTTGACCGGGAGAGAAGAGCAGAGTAGGGGGAGTGGCAGAGGGAGAAGCTGACTCCCGCGGAGCAGGGAGCGGGAGGGGTCTGGATCCCAGGACACCAAGATCCAAAGGCAGACTCTTAACCAGCTGAGCCACCCAGGTGCACCTAGGATGATTTTTTGATGGACTTACCTACACCCACTTTGCATCTTGCCAGTTCAGAATAAGTGTCAGAGCACTGTGTGCTTCGTTGCCTTGTGCCCATTTCTTTGTGATCTTAGGTAGGCAAGTAAGAAACTTGAGCAAGCTGTGACTTTTTTTTTTTTTCTTTTTCTAATTGGCATCCGCTGGTTTGATCGACTTTTTAAAGACCTCTTTGAAGGCTCTAAACTTGTGGCATTTTAATGGGACCGAAGCCCTTTGGAGAAGTCTTTTTGTCTGTACCTCACACATTATGTGAGATATGAAGATAATAATGTAGAACTTCTAATGATAACATTTTGAACGAGGATTTCCGTTTGCTTTACAGTCCAAAAGTGCAGATATATTGCTTTCCTAACTGATCGTGGTGTTGGCCGAGCCAGGTCAGAGAGAAAACACTGATTCTTCTATGCTGCCCTCGCTGATAGGTCACATTCTGCATTTCTGACTCTCATATAAGTGCATATGTACCATTTTTCTGAGTGGTTTGCAGGGTTTTCTCAGCTGGGAGGAAGCAGAGGACTGGCAAACAAGTCAGGAAAACTGCATCCTAATTCTTGCTCTGTCACTAACTTACCATGTCATTGGGGCAAGTCGCTTATTCTCATTCTGTGGCTGACTCAGTTTTCTCATCTACAGAATGAGGGATGTGGAACAAGTGATTTATAAGGAGCTTTAAAAGCTTAAAATTCTATCATATTGCATGATTTATAACTTTGAGCTCATAAATGGAAGAGGAAGTTTAGTGGCATTGCCATTCCTGTATAATGTTCCTCTTAATGTAGGGAATTTGTTACTGCTTTTGGGACTTGGTGTCACTCTACTAGGATTTTTCATAGGTTGTTCAGAGGAAGCTAACTTTAAAGAAGTTCTTTGATAATCATCAGAACGTATTTATTTAGCAGTCTTATATGGGGGGTGTGCCTAAAGCAGCCTTATTCCTGAGGAGACTCATAGATTAGGAAGTGGAGAAAAGCAGATCTAATTCCTTTTATGTGTACAAAATAAAAACAACAGCAAACACCTATATCACACATGCATTTTATGTACCAGGCATTATTCTAAATCCTTTACCTGTATTAGCTCACCTAATATTCCCATCAATCTTTTGAAGTAGGTCTCCTATTAAAATTACCAAGAAGCAGAGAAGTTAAATAGCCAGCCCAAGATTATACACCAGACAGTGGTAGAGCCAGGATTGGAACCCAGGCAGTCTGCCTATATTGTTCAAGTTGGCCCAGCTACCTGGCACCTGACCCTTCTATCATCGGGGACCTAAAATGTTTCACTGAAAGGAAAAGATCCTAAGAAACCATCTATTGTTTGTTTCTTCTAGTTTTATGAAGAGTAGTTATGAGGGTTGCTGCAGCAACCTGCACATGATTCATTAAGTGAACACAAAAGCTTTTGTAATTGAACTCAATGACCCAAGAAGAACTGAATAGCAGTTGACCGCCCGTAGACACATCTATTCATTTCATCCTTTTTAGTACTGCATGGTGTGTCGAAGACTAGTCTGTGCATACACATATTATTTCTGGTTATATCTAATATGTGAGAAGCAGAATGTTTTGGAGACAAAGATACTTGTCTCTGTTGCTGTTTGTGAGCCTCTGCTCCTTGCCTGGCGCTACCAGATGCTGGGAATATAGTGACAAGGTAAGAGTGCCTGCCCTCCATGGTGCACAGTCTGTACTGGGAGACAGATAAGGAAAGCAGTGCCAGTACTGTGTGAATGCGCTCTGATAAGAACACAAATGCAGCTTTGAGCAGCTGCAGCATAGATTCCTTCAGGGGCTTATTCTCTTTTGTGTAAGTAGTACGCTTTTGAGATAAGGTGAAGACAAAAGATAAGGTGAAGCAGTATTGCTTGCTGTTTTCTTGATTTTTGTTTGTTTGTTTCCTTTGCAGTTGGAATAACTGAAGCACAGGGAAACTTAAGACTTAGTTCTGAGATTATATAACGAGTGGTCCAACTGGGAGCAGCCCTCCCTGACCAAACCAGGCTTTCTAGACTCAAGCAAGATGCCTCAAAACAACCTGGTGGTTATGTCTTCATTGTGGAGAATAATGTGTATATTTTATAATCAGAGTTATTAAAATTATGCCATTATATAATCAGATGCTATTCTGGAGAACAAAAAATGTCTAAGAACTATTTTATTAGGTAATACTTAGATTCTTTACGATGGAGGGATGCTGTGGAGCTGAGGCTATATCCTTAGGGCGTTTGGTTTTTCTGGCTCGGCGTAAAAATAGTTATTTAATGGAATTGTCCTGAAGAATGAATAAGGTGTGTAAAGTGTCTTCATGCCTGTGTGTCATGGTAACTCCATAAACGATTGCTGTTATTATCTTTATAAGTGATATGCATCAGGGTATTTTGGACTTTTCTGTAGAGTCTAATGTCTCGTGTACATTCGGCTGCCCCTTTGTCTCCTTCTGTATGTTCCAGATGTAGAATATTCCTGTTGTTCCAGATATAAATTTAAGCAGGTATAGAGCTGATAATGTAGAAATCAGAACAGTGCCTAAGAGAGCAGGATGTTTTTTCAGTGATTGTAGCCTAGTTAGAAAGATTGGATTTTTCTTGCCAGGGCTAATAGGGGTCATGGTAAACATACATGTCCAGAGTATAAGGAAACAAAACAAAACACTTGTGATATAAATTTGGCAGTTATTATAGGTGAGAGCATGACGGTAGGATGACCAAAGGGAAGCCAGCTCCAGGCAGGACTTGGGCTGTGGACCACAGAGCACGCCCGTTGAAGCTCAGCCAGCTGGGTGACAGGTGCAGCCTCCTGCAGTGGCCAGTGAAGTGTGGCCAATGATCCTGGTCAAACCTGGATGGATATCCCAGCTGGATTGCTTCCCAGCAATGGGAGGTTGAGCAAGTTTCTTAACCTTGCTGAACCTCAGTTTTATTATCTGTAAAGTAGGGTTAAATATCCATGGTATCTGCCTCATAAAGTTGTTGGAAGGATTAAATGAAGTAGCAAGTATTTAGTACTGAGCACTATGTCTCAGATGCAGGAGGTACAGAGTAAATGGGAGTTTTTGTTTTCTGTCTCTTCTCTTTGTGGAGAACATTCCACAAAGCTTCTCTTTCATCTTCTCATTTTCCGTTCTATTTTATTTCCAAGAGTTTTAAAAACAATAAGTAGGACTTGACTGGACAGTTATCAGTAGTATTTAGAAAAATTAAATGTCCTCATCTAGTTGTATCATTCTTTCCTTCTCGTTTTCCTAGACATGTTGGTTATAGCAAAGAAAGATGCCAGAATCATATAAACGTGAGTGAGCTCCTACAGCATTGACACCATAAATACAAAGAGACAAAAAAGGTCCTTTACTAATAACATTTATAGATAACTGTATAGATAAGAACTGCTGTGGTGTTAAAAGGCAATCATAGAGACTCATGCTCCTTTCCTTTCCAAGTCTCTCCCAGATGCTCCATCCATATCTGCTCTCTCTATATCTTCAATAAATTCAGATATCACTTAGAAATAATGAAATTACATGGAAAGCCCTTAGCGTACAGCCTGTAGCAAGCAATCAGTTCAAGTTCATATCATCTGCTATTGCTATATGTCACACACTGTCAGACACTTTATGTATATTCATTATCTCAGGAACTCTGCAAATTAGTGTTAGAGGCTGAATTTGGACCCAGGACTGACATGGTACCAGGGGGATCCCGAATACTTTGAGAGGTGCAGCAGGCTCTAAGTTCCTGAAGAACACAGTCGGTTCTAATCACCTCTGAAACACAGTTTCCAGCACAATGTTTCGGCAGATCCTGGATGAGGGCAGAAATGCATACATCAATGAATGAATACAATCTTTTTTTTTTTCCAAAATAAAAAATACATTTTAAAAAGATAGAATGAAGAGTTCTGAACCAATGCTTTTCATGTACTGGTTGACATCCATGCATTGATTGTGAGAGCCAGTGGAACACAATCATGATGTATGTTTACAGATGGAAGAGACTGGAATAGAACAGGAAAAGTCAAAGTGTATATGCATACTAATGATGAACCTTGTTTGGTAAAATGTGTTTTGTTCCATTGTTTTTAATTTTAGAAGGTTTGAAGAATTCTACTCCGACATAAGAGTTACATACTGTGTGAGCTCTGATATGTGTTGTCATTGAGAGCTTTTTAAAAACCTGCTGTACGTTTTCTGTATTCATTGCATCTGGTCCCTCTGTTGATAAGGATTGATACTGAAGGGAGTACATTGATATCAGAAAAGGTAGTTTTAGCTTCCAAGGCCTCAGGCAAAGCCAGGACAATTGTGTCCTGCTGCAAAACGCATCATTGGAGTTTGGGGAACAAAATACAGGATAGGAAACCATCTAAATACCCAGGTGACTGAGGGTGCTTTGAGGTCAATCACCACTCTCTTACCTGAGAGTAAGAAGGAGTTGAAATTCATTTACAGGGAAATAATGAGCCTTAATAGATTGTTCTTTGTAAAGTGCTTTGATACCATTTTATTAAAAGCTTTTCTGTAACTTACTGTCCATTTTGTGCCTAAGGGGTTATTTTTAGAAATCCCATTATCACTGACATAATATTATATTATTTATTATTATTTTTTAAAGATTTTATTTATTTAACACAGATTGAGAGAGACAGCACAAGCAGACAGAGCAGTAGGCAGAGGGAAGGGAGAAGCAGGCTCCCCACTGGGCAGGGAGCCTGATGTGGCTCCCCACTGGGCAGGGAGCCTGATGTGGGACTTGATCCCAGGACCCCAGGATCATGACCCTGATGATCACTTGACTGACGCTCAACTGACTGAGCCACCTGGTGCTGCTGACATAATATTTTAAATTTCCACTGTACTGACACATTCAGTAAAGTCTCTTCAGTAGATAATGGTCACTTATGTGACACGTTGATACTTATTTAGACTCCATCTCATATAAGAGAAAGTACACGTGTGCACACAAGTAGGGGGAGCAGCAAGCAGAGGAAGAGGGAGAAGCAGACTCTTCTGAGCAGAGAGCCCAATGCAGGACTCCATCCCAGGACCCTGGGATCATGGCCTGAGCTGAAGGCAGACGTTTAACCAGCTGAGTTGCCCAGGCGTCCTGTAAATATTTCTTCAGTGTTCAACGGTGTCAGGCTCTGTGCCCAAGAGTAATAGGAACTGCCTTCCATTTAATGACATTGCTCAGCTGCTCCAGGGCACTGTGTAGTTAGCCTTCCTGAAGGAACTGAGCTCCCATTTTTGTTAAACTACTGTTTCAGTTTTGTGCTCGGATCTGCTGCTGGGGGACCTGGGGTGCATGAAATTTCCTGGCTGCAAGTTTAAAATCATTTGAATAAAAGATGATGAAAGACATGGAAATTGTAGCATTTTAAGTGGAAAGAGTGACGCACTCCTGCAAGATGTCTAAGATTGCAGAAAACCAGACACATGGTTAGCTGTTGGGGTGATGCACTGCTGGGCGTCCACACCCCAGGTAAACACACAGGCCTGGTGTTGTGTTCAGTTTATGGGCTGGAAAGGAGAGGCTGCCTTTTTAACCCCCCCTTTTTTCTCCCAGTTAGATGGACTCTCCTGGTGCTTAGGTAGGGGCTGAGTCCAAGCAGATATTAGCCCTTGAGTCTTAACTCTTTAAAAATTGGCTTTCCTTCTCTGGCCCCAACACTCAAATAAATTGCATTCAGCTTGCCCCTGTGTTGTAGTCTGAAGGATTAGAAAAGTAGTTCTAAATTAAAGCTCCAGAAATCAACTCTTACTAGTATTATCAGTAAAAGAATAAAGCCAGAGAAAAGGCACCTTCCCTCCCCATTTCAGAGAGGAGCGTTCATTCATTCATTCGTTTGTTCTACCTCCTTTGTAACTTTTCCTCTTAGAGATAAAATTAACTTCCTTTCTTCTTTTCTTGTAGACTCGCTCTTTACTGAGTGTATTTGAAGAAGATGCTGGCACACTCACGGATTATACCAACCAGTTGCTCCAGGCGATGCAGCGTGTCTATGGAGCCCAGGTATCCTGCTGTGCCCTTACCTGAGAACTAGTAGAGTAGGGGCCCCTGGTTTCATCTTGAACTTCTCTCAAGAGGCTGAGAAATTTGAGTCAGAACAATACCGTTTAAAATTTGGAAATAAAATCAGAATTTTTTTCCTCACTTCTGTTCACATGAAAAACACTAAGGACAATCTGTTTTCAGCTTAAGAAAGAGGGCAGTTTTCCTGTAACCAGTAAAACCAGTAGAGAAGGAGCACATCCCTGGTTTTAATTTTTTAAAAAACTCAGCCCCAGAGGGAAACATTTGAATCTCCTCTTCCTACTTGTGAATGACCGGGGTCAGTATCCTCTTTGTCTTTCTCATAAATGGGAGCCTTAGACGTCAGGGCAGGCGGGTAGAGAGGGTTTTCCACATGCTTCCTCTAAAAAGGGTTGGGTCACACTTCTGAAACTATCGAGTGACTTCTTTGTTTTGAGGAACAAGTATCTCTGACTTGCCAAATAATGGAAAATAAATTGCTGAGTAGCAAAAGTGAATCTTCTTAAGATCGAGAAGTGCCTGTATATGTTATTTTCTAAGGGAAAACTTAGAACTTATTTAAAATTCATTATGTTGCATGTCAGAATATTATGGTAGCTGAGCCTTTGATTATTGATTCCTTGTTGACTTAAACCTGTATGCATTAATGTTTCTTTTTCTCATTGATGATCTCTAGAGAAATACATTCAGTGTGTAATATATACTAATAATTGTGTGTAGTCATTTCTTATTATATAGCTCTTAACATTCATATATGATCATTCATTATTATCATTGTCTTATTAGTCATTCATTCATATTATATATGGGAAGAGGACTCAGTCCTTGCCATTAGAGAGCTCATGTTTAGGTGAGGAGACAGAGAAAACATTTATCTAAGAGTGTTAATGCCACTAGGAGAGGAGGTCACCTCACCCAGAGGAATTGTGCTTAGCGCCCAAAGAGAAGATGATTGTGACAGTCGAGATTAATTGAATATTTCATAGCTTTTGGGGATGATTTCACAACTTTTACATGGATCGCTTCATTTAAATTACCCAGCAACTCTGAGGTGGGCATTGTTGTCATTATCCTCATTTTGTAGGTTAGGAGACTTAAGGATTCCAGTGACAAGTAACTTGTCCAAGTCCACCCCATTAATACAAGGCAGAGCAGGTCAGCCCAAAGCTGAAGCCCAAATTGTCAGCTACGAAGTTTGGGGCAGCCTTGGAAGTAGCAATAGAAATGGAGAGAAGTGGATGAATTTCAGAGGTGTTCGGGAGGCAGATTGGTGACTAAATGGATGTGAAGTGGTCACATATGTGAAGGAAAAGTCAAGCACGATGTCCAGGTCTTTGACTTCAACAACAGGGTGAGTAGTCAGGAGCACATAGGAAGATATGGATGGTGTGAATGTATGTCTGTGTAATGGCAAGGATGCCAATCTGAATTCTTTCTTGAAAGGCTGTTTTTGAGATGTCTGTGGGACATCAAAAGTGGAGAAAGACAGCTTGTTGAAAATTCAGATCTAGAGTTCAGGCTGGAGATACTGATTTGCAAACTATACTGTATTATGCAAATATAACTTAATTGGAACTGATTTTAAAACCCAAACAAATCATGTGCTCATGTGTGATTGTACTTGTTTTGGTAAGACATTCAGAAACTGGGGATGTACTATGTTGATTTTTTAAAACCCTATTTATTTATATAGTATGTTTTTATATTTTTCCCTACATACTCAAAATTTAAGAAAATAGAAATTTTTTTCCACTGGACTTGGGCCTGAACTTGCTATTCAGTAAGTTGAATATTATCATCTCCTGTTTAAGGTTTGGGAGCCCCACGACTTAAGGGACAGTGTCTCTGTTACTCCCAAGAGCTTCTGTTCTGCCTCTCCACGTCTGTCAGAATCATTTACTTGGAGATATCCAAATGCTTTCTTATGTGTATTTTTTTCTTTTGAGCTAGAAAACTACATTTTGCCAAAATTAAGTGGGTCGTGAATTCCAAGAGTCTGTAAACCGGCTTTTAATTCACACCACATGATCATCACATGGGTTCTCTACTGGCTAGAAACCCTTCCTCCTGCCTCGGCATTTCCTGCAGCAGAAGCTGGCGGGAAGGGCCAGTTAGTGCTGCCAAGCTCAGCGACACATTCGAGCAGTGGCCAGCGGCATCCAGATCGGTTCCGTCAGGGTCAGTTGGTGTTCAGGTTTATTTCAAGGCTTAGGTATCTTGTTTTGTTTCTTTGTAATTAAAAAAAGAAAACTTTCTTGACTCTTCTTTGGTCAATTTATTTATACACATGTATGTGTGGGTGTGTGGATATATATATGTATATGTAGTAATACTTATCAGTGTTTTCATTCAACTTTTTTCCCCCTAAGATGTTTTCTTGATTTATTTAACATTATTCTTTAAATATTTTGCCCCTAGACATGTTGAATTCAATTAATAGGGTCTTATAATTTCATTTTTAAAAACACAGGTACTTAGATGTTTTTGCATTATATTTTAAAAACCAGATTTATGCTGGTGATAGATGATAAATGTTCTTAAGAGGTACTTTGAATCAGACCACATGATAAATTTCTGTATTCTGATAGGGCAAATGCCATTGGACCTCAGTTTTAGAAAGAGGAAGAGTGAGGAAAACTGGAAGAAAGTTCTGTGAGTGTTTTTTGCTGATTGTAGCTGGTTTGGGGGAAATTTTAAATTTTATTTGATTTAAGTGCTAGATTGAAGCTATGGTCCGTGATTGTTCAGCATCTCCTTTGTAGAATCTCATTTAGCTCTCACAAGAAAGGAGTGGTATTGCTATAGCATGTGTTTGCAGATCAGTAAACTAAGACTCAGGTTATATATTTTGCCTAAAGTCACAGTGGCAGACCTAGAATTTGCACTCAGGTCTTTGACTCCAAGGCCTGCACTCTCACTCTGAACCACTACGCACTACTCTTTTGACATACTGGCCTCTAGAAGTGGCATGGCAGCAGAGGCAAAGGAAGTAGGAGCTTTCAGAGGTTGTTCTTGTCACTATAGAACAATCCCCACCATAGGACAGCCAAACAGCCCTGTAGCACAACAGTTCCCCCTTTAACTGGGTTCACTTTCTGATCTTTATATTACCTACTGTGGTCAACTGTGGTCTAGAAACCGGTGCTCCTCCTCCTGACGTATCATCAGAAGCTCGGGAGTAGCCTGGTGCTACCTCATTCATCTCACTTCATCTCGCCATGTAGGCATCTTACCTCACACCATCACAAGGAGGGTGAGTGAGTTCAGCACAATGAGCTATTTGAGAAAGAGACCACATTCATATAGCTTTTATTACAGTATACAATTGACCCTTGAACAGTGCAGGAGTTGGGGCACTGACCCCCACAATTGAAAAATCCTCATACAACTTTTAATTTCCCCAAAGCATAACTAGGAGCCTTCCAGTAACATAAAGAGTTGATTAACACCTATTTTGTATGTTGTATATACGATATACTGTATTCTTAGAATAAAATAAGCTAGAGGAAAAGTGTTACTAAGAAAATCACAAGGAAGAAAAAATACATTTATGGTGCTGTATGTATTTACACAAAAAAATTCGCATGTAAGTTGACCTGCACAGTTCAAACCCATGTTGTCAAGGGTCAACTCTGTTGTAATTTTTCCATTTTGTTATTGTGAATCTCTCCCTATGCCTAACTGATAAATTAAACTTTATCATAGGTTATGTATGTAGGAAAAAAACGTATATATAAAGATTAGCACTAGCCCCAATTTCAGGCATCCCCTGAGTGTCTGGGAATGTGTCCCCTATAGAAATGGGGGCACACTATGTCAGAGGTGGGAGCCAATTCCTTTTTGTATCCCAAAGTAACTTCCCTGGTTGAATTAGTTTTTATGCATAACTGTTTTAGTCTGTGCATTTTAATAGCCCTGAGAGCCAGTCAAATTGAGGTTGATATTGCAGGGACTGAGGAGAAATACATATGTAGCTTAAGGTGTGAGGGAGCAGAGAGCCTGAATAGTTTCTGGAAACCACTACAGAGACCTGGATTCCTGCTCTTGTTTTGCATGCAGGACCTACAGCTTTTCTTCATGAAGCCTTTGGAGGCCTTCAGATTGGCATGAAAGATGATTCTGGGCGAGGCTCTTTCACTTAGGTACAGGGGTTAAGTGTGTAACCCTGAATTCACATCTGAGTTCCAGCGCTGGCTTGGCCACTTGCTGTGTGGTGTTGGTTGGGTAACTTGTTTGCCTGAATTTCCTTATCAGGTAACAGAGGCTGTAATCATGGCCACCTCATTGGTTTGTTGTGAAGGTTATTAGAGTGACCTGTGAAGTGCTAAGATCAGTTCCTGGCACGAGGGGTGTTAATCATCATCTGTGACTTGTAATAACCATAGTTAAGAGGGCACATTACACTGGGACTGTTATTTGGGTTTAGTAGAAGCTTAGTCCTCAGAGCCTGACTGTTGACGCAGCAGTCTATACTTGCTCTCCTCACTTTCTTGCTGGACGTTTGATGCCTGCATCTCAAGCCATCTGGGCCTGGCCTCCCTCTTCCCTTTTCCTCAGGGTGGCCATGTGCCTAAATCGCTGCCTCTCCTCCCTCGGGCCCTGAGCAGCCTCTGATTCTTTAATGACCTGAAGCGGTTTTGCCTTGGTTTTTGTGACAAGGTCCCTTCTAGTCTCCTTCTAGTGCTCTGCTCGTCCTTCTAGATCTTTCTCTTTTCTTGGCACCCTGTTGCTTCCTGCCCCTTAAGTCTTGGTGTTCTACAAAATTGCCCTGGAATCCTCCTTGGCTTTATCTCTATTTGCTTCCAGGGGTAAGAGCCCTTCAGCCAGCCTGGCCATTTGAGAATCCATTTCTAGTGCTTGTCTCTGGGTCTCTGTTCCAGACATTTGCCTGTTGGTGTTGTGGGGAATGAGTGTTCAGCTTTTACCTAATGTACACTCCCCTGGTGTGTCCTCTTGCCTTGGGAGGTGTCCCCCGCTTCAGCCCCTCCGGCAAAACCTCCCTTCCCTCATCTTCACACGCTTCCATGGCTCCTGGACGATTGCGGTCAAACTCCTCAGCAAGGTGCACAAAGCGCTTCACGAACTGAGTATCAGCCTACTCTGGCCTCGCATTTGGCTGTTCCAGAATATGCCAGACTCTCTACGTGGCTTGGGACTTTGCTTTGCCACTGCTACATCTCTGGCACCTGTCCTTCCTTCCCTCCCTTCTCAGCCAAAGTGCACCAGAGTGCCCAGGGCCATGTGCACTTGTTGCCCTGAGCACTTCTGGGGCATTGAGTGCGGTTTCCCTGTCCCTCTGGACTGTGACATCCCAGAGGGCAGACTGTCTCCAGGGCCCGCACCAGGCCTGGCTGCTCTGAGCATCTGAACTGAGGGGTCGTAGGTGTCAAGTAAAGGCCTGAACTGGGGCCAGGACATCTGCACTGAATGCCAGTGCCAGCACACCCCCACTGTGTGCTATGCCCATGGGTCCTCAGCTTCCCAGCTAGGGCCACTGTGGTCCGTTCTTGGATTTTGCCCCTCCTTCCTCACTCCCTGCGGGCTGCTGTTCTTGCCTCAGGAATACCTCACAGGCCTCCATCACCTTCTCCCTTATGGCGTCGGGCTCAGACTGTTTGCATCCCTCGCTCTACCTCTTCAGGTGGCCTCCTGACCCTCCTGCTATGCCTCCTTCTCTATTCCTCTTCACCACAGCCACTCTTGATCCTTCCTCTGCTCCTGGTGGATCTTGTCACTCCCCTGCCCATGCTCCTCAGGGCCCCCCTGTTCCCTCCAGAGTAATTTCCACATCCTCAGGAGGCACCCCTCACGGCCAGCCCCCAACACAGTGGGCACCCCTCACCACTCCTGTGCATGACCCAGCTCGAGGGATCCTGGACCCTGGCTCTGTGGCAAGCACGTGGTTTGACCGAGATGTTCAATGACTGGGCTTGAGGCAACATTGCTGGGTGGGAACAAGTGCCTACATTGTGGTTTTTGACCCCAGTGGATTCCCTCTGCCCCTGAGCCCAGCCTCTCCATCACTGTTCACCATAGATGTGCCACCAGCAGGGGCCTTTGGGTGGTTTGGGGTGATAGTTACAGTTCCATGAGCATTCTGTGCCACCCCAAGATAAATATTCCTTTGCTAAAAGCTTGGTTCTTCTTTCAGGTTTGCTGACCACTGGTATTTCTCCCTTGGTAGGAGCCATGGAGATTCTATTTAATATAGGAGATGCTGTCAGTAAATACTCCATTGGGTTATCTTTTTAAAGGATTCTTATGAGGCATCAATAATGAGCACAGATAATAGCCAGAGAGTGGTTCCAGAATGTCACAGAAAACTTACCTGTGGAACTCCATTTAGAGTCTAAATTTTAGGCTACTTCTGTTGCTGAACCACAGCTAGAAGGGTGTGGGATTTATGTTCCCATCCATAGGCCCAGTGAGGCCTGCCCACTGAGGACCAGCCAGGTAACAGTTTTGCACTTTGGGTTGGAAATGGCATAGAGTTAAAAATGTGGCATTTAGGTTTCAAGTCCAGCAGATCTGTATTAAGTCTTTACCTTGCCAGATACTAGATGTGATTTTAAAGAGTTATTATCCCTTCTGAGCGTTTGTCTCCTTGGGACAGTCCTTACCCCCATGGAAGCATTGTAAAGATTGAGCATGATAATATGTGAAAACCACTTAACAGTACCGTCAAGTACCTAGAAAAGACTCAGTGTTAGCAGCTGCCTGCATGATCACTATTACTGATATTTACTCTGCACCCAAGCTCTAGTTTTGCAAGCCTTGATGGAGAGATAATTGTGTGCGCTGACCTCACAGGGCGTGGATTAATTGGCTGATGATGGCAAAACATTTCATAGAACCTCTGTATATTATAGATTAAGTATGAGTAAGATTAAAGTTGGTCTAGCTCAGAAGATTTTTCATGGACTGTGCTCTGTACAGAAGTTCACTTCTTTTCAGGGCCGTGACAGGCCACCAGTGAGATCATACTGGCAGAACAGAATCTTGCAGCCTGAAATCATGGCTGTCTAAAAATACACAGTATTTCCATAAGGTATTTGCAGGAGAGACCTAGCAGAGTGTCCAGTTGTGTACAGTGGTTTTGGAAAGCAGCTGTTGACTGTCGTGTCCCCATGTTGGCCTTGTGCAGGTGGCACATGAGTGCTCCCCTGGCCTGGTGCAGTCCAGGGTTCTGCATTCTGGCAGCTTTTTCTGTGACGATTGGAGTGTTTGCCACAAAGTGGTAGAGAAGAATTCAAGTAGCCCACTTCTTATTTTGAAGGCAAGGAGGGTAGTTATCATATCTGTTTTCCAGTCTCTAAAGGATATAGATATGGGGCAGTAATATTGTAGACTTAGCTAAAATAAAGAATGACTTAAAAGAGTAGAAAATGTTCCTTGAATTGGAAATAGTGTAGCTTAAGTAGAGCCTCCTGAGAGGCAGGTCTCTGGAGATCTTTAATGTCTAAAGCAGGATCAGCAAGTGATTTGCACCCTTGGGCTGGTTTCCTATTTTTGTAAATAATGATTAAATGAAGGAAGCCACACTCATTCATTTCTGTCTTGTTTATGGCTCCTTTCGTGTTCCAACAGCAGAGTTGAGTAGTTGTGACGCCAGTTGTGCCATATCTCACAAGGCAAAAGTAATGTCTCTGGCCCCTTAGAGAAAAAATTTGTCAACTTGAGGCTAAAGTGTAGGTCACCTTAGCTCTTAGCAGGACTTGGGATCTTAGAGAATAGTAGTTAAGTGTGTGGATTATAGAATGGGACAAATGTGGGTTCACATCCCAGGCCTGCTGCTGACTATCTGCGTGACCTTGGGCAAGCATCTTAACCTCTCTGTGCCGCAGTTTCTTCATCTGTAAAATTGAGTTAATAATCAGAACCTACCTTAGAGGATTGTTGGAATTAAATGAGGTAATGCATGGAATACACATGGTGTGGCATCTGGCATGGTGTAGTTGCTGCTAGGATGATTCTGTAGGTCTGCAAATCCCAGTCCACATGGTGCTACCCCCAGGCAGATGCCAAAGTAACTTGAGCAAATCCACGTTAAAGCCTCCGTCACTAACTCTGAGGAGTGAAGGATTTTCTGATGCACAGGCAATCAGCCCAGGGAGTAGGCCGAAGCCCTTGTTCCCGTGCCCTCTGACCTTCCAGACAGCACTGCTGGAGGTGATTGACAGGCAGTATTTCTTAGCTGAATCATGCTTGTCTATTCTTGGTATTTTATTGTCTGCCCTCCCATTCATGATGTTACCTTGTAGGAGTAGGAAGTACTTCCCATGACCCTTGATTCCAAGTGTTGTTTTAAACCAGGAATTTAGATGAGTCTTCTAATCTCGTTTGTTCGTTCATTCATCATACATTTGTTGAGAGTCTGCTATGTACTGGGAGCTGTTGCAGACCCCTCCCTAAATGCATTTGTTCACCTGCCTTCCTCTTGGCTCTGTGGCCGCTAGCTCTGGTTTGTTTTGAAAGGAGTGGCACCCTGGTAGGATGCCAAAGCCAGAACTTTTATTATATTTGCTTAATTTTATTCTAGGGGAAAAGGGAGAGAGCCATGTTTCAGGGTTGATTAATGCATGTCCCTTGGGGCTGATGAAGGAAGTCAGGGAACGTTGGCTAGTTGTCACCAAAGAGGGCTGAAAAAAGTAGGATTAGGATTCTGATGGGTCTTGCAAAGGAGGACCATGGTAAAGAAAACAAGCTCCTGCAGAGTTTAGGCCTTGCCCCTAATGGAACAGCAAACCCAGGAGAATTAGAAAGTAAGCGAGGCCCAAGGCCAAGGCCAGCTGGTGCCCACCCTTCCTTCTCTCCAGTCAGACCCTGTGGCTCTATCCTTCTGAGTGAGTCATGAATCTGAAAAGAAGCTTTCACTGAGCTTTAGAAACATTAAGACACGTTTTCTAGGCAGAGGACATCGATGGTGGGAGGCTAGTGGTGCAGAACTGCCCTGTACCTAGATTAGAGGGATAACTCAGAGAAGAGAAAAATGAACAATACAGGCCAGTGCAAAGTGGCATAAAACTGGCCTCCCAGGACATTGCAGCTGTGCTCCCGTATTCCCATCCAGCATTACCTACCTAGGACTCTTGGGCTTACAGCATCTGCTCATGTCACCGCGCTGTTGAAATTCCATTGCACTTAGGATAAAGTCTAAATCTGGACTGTGGAGGCTTGCGTGCCCTCACTCAGCCTGCACTGCCAGCCTCGCCTTGCTTCCACGCCTGTACCCCTTGCTCAGCTACACTCTGCTCCATGGCTCTTCAGACAGACTGTGCATTTTTCCACATGCTCGTCCCTCCTTCTGGAAAGCTTGTTCCCATGGCTAAATCCTAGTCTGTTTTCAGGGGTCTGCTTAGAACCTCTCTTCCTTAGAGACCATCTGGGACCTCCTGTTAGAGCCTCCTAACACATCAATGATTTCCTTCTCATCATGCCTGTAACTATTTTTTGATGTCTGCTTCCCCAATAAATTCCATGAGGACAGGAACCATGTTGTTGTTGGATGTTGGGCACAGCGTAGTTGCTCGTTACATTTTTGTACTGACTGACTGGAAGGAACAGTAATTTATAAATGGTGGGAGAAAAGTAAGCTTTAACCTTTTAAATTTGTTTTGGTCTTGTTTTCCAAATAATTTCTGAACAAATTATTATTTTACAGACACAAACATACATTTTTTAAGGAATTGCCTGAGGTGACATAGGTGGGTTTGTGTGTGTGTGTGTGTGTGTGTGTGTGTGTGTGACTGTACGTGTGTGGGACACATCTTACCTGCCTTTCTCTTCTCCCCACAGAATGAGATGTGCCTGGCCACTCAACAGCTTTCAAAGCAGCTGCTGGCATATGAAAAACAGGTAACTGGCTATTTATGGGCATAGGATGCTGTGCTCGGGACTCTCGTAAGTGGAGTTCTCTTAAGGAATTCTCCAAGGGCATCCTTAAGAGACTTTGATTTTTTTGGTCCATGATCCACTCCTGTTTTGTTTTGTTTATTTATTTTATTTTATTTTATTTTATTTTTTTATTTTTATTTTATTTTTTTATTTTATTTATTTATTTTATTATTTTATTTTTTATTTTGTCTTGCCTTTTCCTTTCCCCTGGTAAATTCTAATTGGTGATTATCCCAAAGTCTTGTAGGATATGTTCTAATTAGCCTACGTATGTAACCCACTGCCTTGAGAATTCATGGTCTGAGGGGCTACAAATGAAACAAATTCCAGGAAATAACCCAGTTCTGGGGAATAAATTCAAAGATAGTGTTATGTCCAGACAGAACGGTGATGGCCAACAAAGGAGTAGTCAGGGAGGGGTGCTTGAGTGCATTGCTGGGGCAGGATGAGGTGAGCATATTAGTTTTCTGCAAATGACACCATGACATGATGTGTGCCTGGGAGCAGAATGGTAGCTGGTGTGGAGGATGGTGGGATGTGGGTGAGGTGGGAGCACTGACTCCCCAAGCATTAACACCTGGGTGTTTTATTCTCTGGTCTTAGAATTTTGCTCTCGGCAAAGGGGACGAAGAAGTAATTTCTACACTGCACTGTTTTTCCAAAGTGGTAGATGAGGTAAGATTGCAACATGGCAAAATTTTATTTGATTCTCTCTGGAACTTTCTTTTATCTTTGTTTTGGCCCACTTTCCATTTTTAAATATCTATTTAAATATCTCAACTTGCTCTTCCAAGGCTCATTTCACGGGACAGGTTGGATGTGATTATGTTTGTTTCTGGTTTGAGGAGAAAGGCTTTGTTAAACATGAACAGTGGACTAAGAGAAAGATTTCTAAGAATTCAATTTCCTAAGAAGGGTGTATTAGTTTCTCCGGCTGCTGGTAATAAATTACCGATAGGTGGCTTTAAAAACTGTAGACATTTATTCTCTCACAGTTCTGGAGGCCAGAAGTATGAAATCAAGTTGTTGGCAGGGCCAAACTCCCTCCAGAGGCCCAAGAGGAATCCTTGGAAAGGAATAGTTCCAGCTTCTGGTGGCCCTGGTGTCCGTTGGCATGTGGCTGCATCCCTTCAGTCTCTGCCTCTGACTGGGCCCATGGCCTCCTCCTCCCACTCTACTTCACCCTTTCCATCTGTGTCTTCTCTTCTTTTTTTTTTTTTTTTGTGTGTGTGTGTGTGTGTCTTCTCTTTGTGTGTGTGTGTGTGTGTGTGTCTTCTCTTCTTAAAAGGACACTTGTCATTGGATTTAGGGCCTGCCTGAATAACCCAGGATGATCTCATTTCGAGGTCCTTAATTACATCTGCAAAGACCTTGTTTCTGAATACTCCACATATTCAGATGCACAGTTCTTTGGGGAAGGAGGAGGGTAGGTATGATTCACCACAGCCCAGAGGGTTTCATACAACTGTTCTTGTAGCTGTATTGTATAATACATTTGGAACGTTCATGAAAAACAGGTATTGTTATAAGAGAAGCATATAAATCCTAATTGTAATAAACACTCCAGCTCAGATGCTACTGATGCTGGGCAGAACCCTCCGCAGAATTGGGTCTGTATGAAATCATTATTTCACCTTTCAAGGAGCCTGCAATACTTAGAGTAGAAAATCTTTTTTAAAGAATAAGTGAAAAAGAATATGCAAGTGCCATTTACCTGAAGGAGATACTGTCTTCAGTTCATAAAATGAGAAACTAATATTCACATAAAATTGTACTGATTACATTGTCATTCATTCAACAAATCAGACCAACAAGTTGTTATTCATTCAGCAAACACCTGTGTGGTAGGTGTTTTTCTAGGCTCTAGCAGTATACAGGACACATGTCATCCAGTTCTTTCTGAACATCATCTTTTCTCTCACAACTCTCTCTTTAGAATGTACGTTTAAAATGGATGGAGATCTTTTCCAGAAGAGGCGGAGCGTCAATGGAAAAAAGTAATGAGAGAGGAGCAAAAAGTAATTTTTTTGGCAGTGAGGAGACGAATGTCTGACCATGAATAAGAAGTGCAGAGGGAGAAGCAGCGGGCTGCACCCCTGAAGTCAGGTGTTTTCCTGACTAGAGCTAGTTGCTAAGGAAATGTGGTTAGTCGCCAAACTCCCAGAACTTATATTTCCAGTTTAAGATACTTACAACCCTCCTTTCACAGGCAGGAATGATTCTCTTGGTGAGGAGTGAATCATTTCCAAAGGCTGGAGGGCTGAAAATGTGATTTAGTAGGTGGTATGATGGCCCTGTTGGGTTCTCAAAACACGCCTCAGGTGTGGAAACCTGCATGCATGAGCAGCTCAGGTGGGAAGCTTTTGAGTAGCTTTTCAGGTGTTTTTCTGTACCTGGGCCTATACTAGGTTGAAAAATTTCAAGACAAGTAGCCTGACTCAGAAATTAAAAAGCTGACTAGAAGTAGAGATTTGTGTGGCTTCTATTTTTAATGGAATGCCTAGGAATCAGACATTTCGTATTGTACACATACAGAGGTTTCTGCCCTTGTGGATTTCTTCAAAGGCAGAGTTTCTAGATCAGTTCCATGGAGAGTGCCTGAGACAGGAAGTCGTCATCATTACAGATTACATTAACAAGTGTGTGTCAGGCCCTCTACTCTGAGTATTTTCTGTTTTGTCCTCACAGTACCCATACAGGGAAGATGGGATTATCCTTACTTTCAGGATGACAATACTGAAGTGCCAAGAGGTAGTCCCTTTCCACTCTACTGAGCAAAAGCTTTATGTTTAGAAGTGATTGTCCCTTACCTCTCAGAAGCTGGATGGCAAAAAGTTGGTGACAAACTCCTTGATCCTTAAGAAATTAGGAAGACAATGAGTAGGTAGGAAATTTGCCATTCCTGAAGTGCATAATAATTGGAAAGCCACCTAATCTCCCTGGTTTTTGGTTTCTTCATCTGTAAGTGGCAGCATCCAGAAGCCCACCTTAACTGGGTTATTGTAAAGATTAAATTAGGTGATGTATATGATAGTATTGAACACGTAGCAAGACACATAATAGGTATACTTGTTGACTTTCATTCATTTAACTGTTAGTAAAAAAATACATTTCTTACTGAAGCTATTCAGGAAAAATAGTTAACACATTTTGTCCTGGTGGCATTTATTGGTGTGGCTGTCTTCATGTGTTCTCAGCAGAATAAAGCTGCCATGCTTCAGCTTGATTGAAAGATAGACCATTAACTGCTTGGCCGATAGCTCCCCTGCCTGACAAATGATTGTCTGTAAGCTTATCAAAGCAGCTCTAATGGAGGCACAGCCCTGAAGGACCAGATCTGTTGGAGGGACAACTGTGTGCACATGAGGGCTTCATATGTGACTGCGGTCACCCAGTCACCCCTGAAAGAAACTGCCAAATGCATACTGCCAAGAAAGACTGCTGGGTGATTTCCCTTTTGTTCACCAAGCAGGAATCCCAGAACATCTTCAGTATTATCTGTGTTCATTGCTGATGTCCAGACTACCAAACATTTGTGAGCATAAAAGACTTTATATCCAACACGGTATAGTAGGATGAAAATCCCAGCTGTTCCACCTTTTTTTGCCGTCTGGATTTGGAGAGTTGTTTGCCTGTCTGTTAAATGGGTATAATAAATAAAACCTAACTCTCAGAGTGGGTGAGAACCAAATGATATAAAACATGTAACTCTGGCATGCAAAAAATACTCAAAAATGGTAGCACTGAGGGGGATGACTTTTATTTCTCCTGCACCATTTACAACAGGATTTAGAAAGGCCTTGACAATAAAGAAGATGTGGTCTATGTATGCAATGGAATATTACTCAGCTATTAGAAACAACAAACATCCACCATTTGCTTCCACGTGGAGGGACCTGGAGGGTACTATGCTGAGTGAAATAAGTCAATCAGAAAAGGACAAACATTATATGGTCTCATTCATTTGGGGAATATAAAAATTAGTGAAAGAGAATAAAGGGAAAGGAGAGAAAATGAGTGAAAATATCCGTGAGGGTGACAAAACAGGAGAGACACCTAACTCTGGGAAATGAACAAGGGGTAGTGGAAGGGGAGGTGGGCGGGGGGTTGGGGTGATTGGGTGATGGGCACTGAAGGGGCACTTGGCGGGATGAGCACTGGGTGTTATGCTATATGTTGGCAAATTGAACTCCAATAAAAAAATTTAAAAAAAAAAAAGAAAGGCCTTGACAAAGTGAAAGAAGAGAAAGAATCAGGAGCCATTAAAATTACCTGGTGAGGGGGATCACATTTGAATACAGTCATCTTGTTCTTGGAAAGATCCTTTTCTGAAGAACAGAGGCCTGGGATCTGAGGTTTCAGTGGGGAGCCTTCTTTCTCCAGAGTAGTTCCCAGGCCTGCAGCTGCTTTGGTTTTAGGGTTAATGGGCTCCCAGCAGGCCCATCTTTCAAGTGTGACTTTGCCCCCTTCTGAGAGGGAGAGAGCTCAGGGTGGCCTGGTAAAGTATGACCTGCGGTGAGTGCTCCTGGTGAGCTGCCTTAACTGGAAGCACACTGAAAGTGTCCTCCTCCAGCGGGTGTGGCTCCGACTGAGAACACAGAACCAAGGTTTACAGTAAACAGACTGTAGCCATGGGCTCAGGGCATCCTTTAGTAAACCTAACTGATGCCGGGTCAGTTAGAACCTGCATTCAGTTTTAGTATCTCTAGGCCTATATCATTTGCAGCTTTATGAAGGGTTGTTTACTTGCTAAGGGAGTGTAACAGAACTCTTGAACCACACAGAAGAGTTCAGTATGATCCTGTGCCAGAATCAGATTGTGTCAGTAATGTAGTGGATATAATTTTTTTCAGTAAGATTTCTCTTTTTCAGCTTAATGTTCTCCATACAGAGCTGGCTAAACAGTTGGCAGACACGATGGTTCTACCTATTATACAATTTCGAGAAAAGGATCTCACAGGTAAAGTTACTGAGTTCAGTGCCAATTATCTTCAAAATATCAATTCATTTCATAATTGTTCTGACTGTACAAATTTCTTTAAATACATGCATCATTGAAAAATGGGATGCCCTTCTTTTTCTGAGCATTTCAGTTTAGCTAACTTTCATTGAATCCCCACTAAGTTCTTAGATCACCTAAAGGAGGTTATAGGCTGCTGAGAAAATGGAGTTGGAAACAGACAATCATAACATGTAATGAGGGCAGCAGGACAGGGAGGTACAAGGAATAAAAACAGCATACAGGAAGGTGTTATTACCCTTTTGATATTAGAGTACCAAGGAGGGCTCCCTGGAGAAAGTGATCTCTGTGCTGGCTTTTGAGAGATGAGTAAGTGTTTACCAAGGAGGCAGAGATGACAAGGCTTATATTACTGGTTCGGAGCATTTTGAAGGCATACTTTTTTGGGGGAGCCATGAATGTTTTGGCGTATAAAGCGGGTGGCTTAGGGAAGGAGGGGCGGGGACCTTGCTTTATTTGTGCCAGGCCCTGGGCTGCAGCCCGGAACAAGGCAGATCTCCTGGAGCTCACATGTTAGTGAGCAGGCATACCTGGGACTAGTTAGCGTGGTTGCCCTTTTGGACTCATTTTGGTTCTTCAACGAAAGACAAGAACAAAACTTTAGAATAATTTTATATCTCTGGGAAATCAAGGTAGCCAAAAGCTGAATAAAAAAGAACTAAAAATCTTGGAAAAATGTAGTTGGTATTATGAAATGGAATCTGGAATTCCTAGTCTTTTTGTTCTTTATGTCATTGAAAATGTCCGTTGCTTAGAGATTAAAGAATTGTATTTTCTAGAACACTGATGTAAGAAATTGCTGCCCAGAAAGTCCAAACCTGAGTACTAAGAGATCTGTTCAATATAGTATCTCTTCTTTAAAAATATAACACCTTATGGGCTGCCCAGGTGGCTCAGGTCCTTATCCTGGGGTCCTGGGATGGCCTGCTTTGGGCTGCCTGCTCAGTGAGGAGACTGCTTATCCCTCCTGCCCTGGCCCCATTCTCGTGCTCAGTCTCTCTCCACCTTAAAATGTAAAATTTGTTCAGGCAGAAAAGATGCAGTACATCTTAAAGATGGTGTTCCCCCCTGCCCCCACCTTGGAGATTTCCTGTGATCACATCACCTGAGGCTGTAGGGGGCAGAGGTAGAACAGAATCACCTTTTCCCGGGAAAGGTAGGGGGCAGTTTGACAGCACTAAGACTTGACAAAGAACAGGAAATGAGATGTCAGCTTGTATAGGGAGAAACCTTCCTTGAGCAGGGGTTTTCATGGTTTTCAGTGTTGCTCATCTGTAAGTGCATGTAACTCCCAAAGCTCCATGTTGTCCTGTGCTGATCATACAATATGAACTGAAAGCATTTTTCATGAAGACTTTCTCTAAATAAAATAATAGAAATTTGTGGGGATATCATTTTGAAAACAAATTCCAAGTCTTTTAGACAGAAAATAGTCCCCTCTCCACCCCCCCCCCCCACACCACCCAGACCTACGTTGTCAGATTTGTGTCTTTCAGCTTTGTGTGTGGGAGGCAGCCCTGGAGAGAGGGTCATGACCAGAGCTTCATTAATCCCGAAGGGCTCAGCGTGTGGATTAATAGTATTTGCCCAGGATGGTGATTTTGTTTGTTTTAAGAGAATAAAACTGTCTAATAGTAGTAAAAAGAGAAGCCTCTAGGTATCAATGGAAACTGAGAATCAAAGTAATGTTCTCTGATGACGCCAATACACAAGTTTGAAGGGTTTAGCCCAGGTCTTACCTGAGTCAGCCTGGGAACCAGATTAGAATCTGGCCTCCCCACTGCATGATAGCTTTTACCTGATGTTTCACTGCCTTTTTCATTTATGCACCAATACAAGTACATAACTGAATGAAGAGAACCCAGAGATAGTAAGGAAGCTGTTTGACCCCAGAAGACAAGAACCCTGAAAGTGCTCCAATAGGAAGTGAGAAGGAGAGAAGAAAGGGAAATGTAGGCCAACAAAGGCAGAAAGCAGCCCATTACCAGAAAGAGGCAGAATAATGTGAAGAGAGATTTACAAACTGGAGGCAGTTTTGAGTCAAACTGAAAAATGATATAAAAGTTTTGAAAATACTTTCCTTTGTTTGACAAAGCAAAACTGGACTGTGGTAGAGTTGTAGAAAGTGTTGTTTTCTTTTAGGTGTCTTTGTGTTTTAAAGTTTTTAACCTGGGACAGCCCTCCTTTATTGACCTCTTCATTTTTTTTTTTTGGTCTTGGACTTTGTTACGCCTTTTCGTGTGTGACATGACAGTGCAATACCCACCTGGGATAGTGGTGGTGGTTGGTTTGTCCCAAGTACCAGATACGAGATGGTTTCAGACTTTTTCACTAAAACTAGCACCCCATACTCCTTTGTTAGTGGTGGCTTTGCCACATGTTAAAATGGCAGCAACAGGGCATTTGTAGGTTCTAGGTATGGTCCAGGTATTCTGAGGAAAGAGGTATTAAAACTCTTTCTGGGCACTGAAGAATCAGAGCTTAGGTTTGTACTCCAGGTCTCCATGAAGAGCACCTGGCCACCACACACTCCAGCCCACATCCGCAGAGTGCCCTCTGCTTTACAGACCCTCCCCCCCCCATGCTATCTACGGGGAGTGGCTAGAAGCTCAGTCAGGGTCACTGCATCCCCAAGTTGGGGATGCAGTTAGATTAGGATTCCCAGCCGGGAGGCCGGAGCCCTGTGAGGCCAGAGGTCCTGCTCGCAAAGCCTTTCTCCTTCCACATATAGACTTTTATTTTTTCGGGGAAGCACAGAACTCTGGTTTGGCATATTTTATTTTTCTTTGCTCTAAGATGTTCTTTTTTCTCTTCTTCAGAGGTTAGCACTTTAAAGGATCTTTTTGGACTCGCCAGTAATGGTAGGCATCCTCTGATTCTTGGCACGTGGGTTTAGTATTCATGTGGGTGGAGATGCTGAATGAATGTTCTTGCCTTTCAGCCCATCTGGGTGCTAAAATGCCTCTTTATTTTCAGAGCATGACCTCTCAATGGCAAAATATAGCAGGCTTCCTAAAAAAAAGGAAAATGAGAAGGTAAGAACCTACCTGACATATTGTTCTTCACCTTGTTTACTGAAGCTCCTGTTCTGTGTTCCTACTGTGAAATTTGTGGCCTTGAGAGGTACCTCAATGAATTCTTTCTCTTCTTTAATATACATAGATTTTTAATTATTCTGAATCTCCTAAGTAGTCTTCTACCTCCCTTTTCTAGCTTTTCAAACTGGTTTATTAAACACCAACTTGGAACCATTGTAAAATTACAGTTGCACAATGATTTCAACTCAAGCTTGGTACCTCCTGCATGTCTGCCTCATACCTATTCAGGTTACCTGAATTTCTTGCCCTGGGTGTTGACTCTGCTTCAACTCATGTTTTTTTGCTACTATAGATGATATTGAACATTTTAATGCACATAACTTATTTCTGTTGTATGATTTCCTTGAGCTAAATTACTTCCTTGGGATACAATATTAATGAGTGAACTAAAATGTTTGTGGCTTACCATGCATGCCACTCTATTGTTCTCCTAAAGGATCTTCACCCCAGGGCAACCCCACAAGCACGGATATATTGTTATGTTGGTATTTTTAGGTGGGAGTTTTTAAAACTCAAGGTGGAGCCTAGTCTGTGTTTTATTATATTGGTCATAGAAATGGGTCTCATAAATAAACGCACATTGTTGTAGGATCATGCTCTAACAGAACTGCCACGGTCTTGAGACAGCCTCACGTGTTCCTCCCTTCTCTCCCCCAGGCGAAGACTGAGGTTGTGAAAGAGGTGGTTGCGGCGCGGCGGAAGCAGCACCTTTCTTCCCTGCAGTACTACTGTGCCCTCAACGCGCTGCAGTACAGAAAGCGTGTAGCCATGATGGAGCCCATGATAGGCTTTGCCCACGGACAGGTAGGCCATGCCCTTCCCCTGAGGGCCGAACCCTGAGCCAGCTAGGGAGAGCAGCTTGGCCTTCATGCAGAGGTCGTGTCTAGGAGAAACCAAAGCATTATCGGAGAAAGAAACCTGAACACACCACCACCCTGGAGCCTGCCTTAGATCCAGCACACGGAGAGCCTCCAGGCGGGCTGGCTCATCAGTAGCTGGACTTGTTGGGCTGTACGTGCTGGTAGTGATGGCCTCAATCCCAGGTCTCCTGTGGGGAGGGGCTGGCATGGCCCTTTTGTCTCTGAGCCAAGTGAGAGCCAGGCTGGGTCTGCCATTCAAAGAAGCAGCTAACTGCTTGGAGCTGGGCTGAAAGCCTAGGGCACTGTGTGCATGGTGAGGGCCACCCTGGGCTGGGCTCTTATCATTGCTGCCATCATGGTCACGGCCGGCTCCTTGGCCTCTGGGGCATGGCAAAATGTTGCCACCGCTTGCTGAAGCCTCTGTCTAGGACCTGGGCAGCTTCTCCCCCCAGTTAGTAACTCCTGGACATGTGGCTGCCAGGAGTCTCTGGAGGTAGGCTAAGGCCCTGGCCAGGCGGCTCTGCCCCTCCTCTCTGGGCCCCTCCCCCACCATGCTCTGGCGTGCCAGAGAGACACCCAGGAATCTTCTTTCAGTTGATAATCTAGCGACAGAAAGGGATATCAGGAAGCAGAATGTTGAGAGGAAAAAAGTCAGCAACTTTTTAAAATACACACATCTATTATTATAATAAGAGCATCTATTATTTTTAAATATGTTTTAAAAATACGAATGTTTCAAAAAACAGCATCAGTAGCATTCAGGGAAAGGGGAATAAGAGAGGATCCTCAAGGGCAGAGATCCTCCTTCTTAATGTGATTATGACATTGCTGAATGGCGAGGTGACTAAAGTCAGTTTGTGTCTTCAGAGGTGATATTTAAGGAGAGTGCTGTAGTCTGTGTCATCTGCGTAAAGCTGGGGAGAACCAAAGTTAGGCCCATCCAGCCGTGGGCTCCCATCCGCAGCAGACTCCTGACAGCATCTAGCTTCCTTGCTGTGGGCGCTAGTGCCCATGCTATGTCCTTGCCCACTCTACTGCCCACCTCCCTCCTTCTTTAGGTCCCGCAGCTCTGCCCGGGAGAGTGCCTGGCTATGCTTTCATTATTGCCCCCGTCACTCTGTCCAGGGAGGATTGACAGCCCTTGCTGGTGGAGTGGTAGTCCTAACTAATTAGAGGCCCAGGGGGCCCTGGACTGAGAGCCTCAGAGAGCTGAGCAGCTGCAGGCTGAGCCGCTAGTGGTTGGGGAGCCTGGTTGGTGAGGGAGGGGCCTCACAAGGTCTAGTACCCTGCTTTACCGTAAGGACCACACCGCTTCTCCCAGCCTGCACTTGATAAGTGGAGGCCGCCCCAGGGAGAGGGGGCTCTGCTTCGAGAGCACAATGGAGAGTGGCACGTTTCACCTTTAAGCACAAAATACCCAAATTTCAAGACACAAGACCAAATAGTCCCTCCCCTTGCAGACTTTGAATCCTGCCAAAATTATAGCTCCTTTGCCTAGACCAGTTGATGTCTAACCACATGAATCTTTTGGATAATTCCAAAGCATTTACTCTCCTTCTGACTCATCAGCCCTTTGAGATTAGCGTTGACTGGGTGTCCACCCTTGTTAGCCGATAGTCACGTGACCACTGTACTTCCTGTGGCTCACGAAAGGCACGTGAATCTGGGTCAGGCTTCTCAGCACCACCCACTTCAGTGCAAGCTGCCCGACTTTATTTCTGCCTTCCCTGGCCCTTGTTAAACAGGTTTGCGATGAAATCATGAATCAGTCATCATGCCTGAAACAAACCAAGGTTTTGTAGCTATGTGCAGGTTTATGAGATCACAGAAATCAACAGTAGTGTCACATTCACTGAGTAGACCCTATGAAAGGTGCCCAAGATCTCATCCCTCCCTTCCATTCATTCAGATCAGACTGTGGTAGGGATTGCATGAGCCCCTGCCCTAGGAGCTTACAGAATAGAAGAGCTAAGACGTGGAATTCAGAGGATAAATTCCAAGGAGTTCAGGGAGGGAAAGGAGAGGAAAGCCACTGTGAGGCCGTGTCCTTAGAAATGCAGAAGGCTCATTTAATAGACTTTGATTTTGAGGTTTCAGAGATTCCAAATGGCATTTACTGTTTTGATCTCTGTATGATTAAAAGGGCCAGAGCAGCTTCTTGCATTATTATACCTTGCCTGATGATAACCATGATCATCCTGGTTTTATACTATGAAAACCAAGGGTTTGGGGGCACATACGTCCCCAGGATGCCTCCTGTCAGAGCTGCCCTGGTGACACCTGTCAGCCTCATTGGCACATGTGTTAGAGTTCTGTGCCCACCTTTCAGGGCAGGGGCTGCTTCCAGATCAGACACATGAGCTGGCATAAAGTGTGAGAAATACATCCAAGCTGAGTGTTTTCTCCTTTTATTCACGACCTGGGCTTGCAGCTGTTCTAGCTCTGTGAATAGGACGTAAGATGGAGCAGTTCGCACCTAGTATCCAGGTGTTTTAAAGGCGTGGCCATGGAAAGAAATGGAGAGTTGAGCTTTGGAACCAGATGGTTATTGATATCAGTAGTGCACCAAGGTAGCCCCTATTCCCCAAACCTTTGGGATTTGTGAGGCAACCCAGACTTTCTGGGACGTGAATACCCAGCAGTCACAGGAAGTCAGGACTTCCTTCTATTTGTCCCCCCAAAGCCAGCAATTAAAGTTTTATTTTCAAAGAGATTGAGCCCTCCTGGGGTCCTCCGTCTTGGGCAGAGAGAGCATGCATCCCAGGACGTAGGGGCAGGAAGGGAGCTCACCTGTGTCGAGCGCCTCTTCGGGCCAAGAGCTCCGCTGCATCGTCCACACGCACAGTCCCCTCTGGGTTGACATCAGGGTGAGAAGAGCCTCTTAAGGGTCTGTAGCCCAGTTTCCCCTTCGCAGTGTCTCAACCATATCATCTGTCTAGCTCGTGTTCCGAGCTGCATATGGCTTGTTGAGTGGGGCCAGTGGTGGCCTTCAGGGTGGGCCTCTCTAAGCACCACCCACTGCGCTACATCCGGTGCTCGCCAGTTTCTTGCTGGTGCTGTGCACGTCACGTGTCACACACCGATGGAGCCCCTGGAGACACAAAGGTGAAAACCTCCTTGCCCCCTAGAAGATTTCTGTCGAGAATTTAGAGGGAAAGAGCTGATGACGAGAATGTCAAAGATAATTGTCAGTAGTGACGACTGATGCACCTGGCCTGGTATGTGCCAAGCAGAGCACTCACGTAATCCCTGGTGTTGATGGCCTTTCAGTAAGAGCTAGGTCTGCAGTGCACTCCGGGCTGCGGGAGGAGCTCCACTGGCATGAGCCCAGCAGAGGCCCAGGAAGCCCAGGAGCACATGCACACGATGGGGCCAGCCTCTGGAGCTGCCCTTGTGCTGTCTGCTCACACCGGCTGTGTTCCCTGAGCCCCTTTCCTAGATGACTTTCAGCATCACGATTCTGTCTTTCAGATTAACTTTTTCAAGAAGGGAGCAGAGATGTTTTCCCAAAGTATGAACAACTTTTTATCCTCAGTTGCGGACATGGTTCAGAGGTAAGGCTGCGCTCCAGTCTGGTGGGCCTTTGCCTTTCCTGCTGAATCCATCTCTCTGGGAGCAGGGAGGGCCCCAGGAAGCCCTGCCTGTGTGAGGTCTGGGCAGCCAGCCCCCTTCTCAGCTGCCGGTATTCGGGAATACTGTTGTTGGAACGTAATGCCTTCTACCCTTCCCACCCGTGGGGGCACCGAGGGTGAACAGGTTAGATAACTAAAGAGAAATTGTCCACAGGGGTACTTAACCATCAGGTCCTCAGTCCTGTGCTGAGGGAGGGTCTCGTGTTTGCTGACAGCCAGCATTCACATCCTGCAAGCCAGGACCCAGCATAGGATTGCAGTAGATTTGGAAGTAGTCTGGCTTCCAGGAGTGCTGTGACTCTTCAGGAAGCTAGCTGCCAATTTATGCTAGATAAATGAGGCTTTAAGCTGCTTTGGAATTAATTTAACAAGTTGCACTTCAGCTTTGCAAAGGCTTATTTTTTAAAAACACAGCATCCTGTCTCCAGGCTGTCCTGCCACATTTAGTTGATGCTATGGCTGCTTGGACACCGTTTGCCTCCATTGCCAGTGTCTGCGACAGGAGGCTTGTTTAACTCGCACTGCAGACCTGGTTCTGGGAGCACTCCGTGATTTCTGAAGTAGGAGACAGAGGGAGAGAAGTTGATAAGCAGACAGACAAAATGGAAGTAGGAGTGGAGGATTTTATTGTGTGTGGAAAAATGGAGGAAGGCCACTCACTTTCTTGAGGATGTTGCAGACCTTTTCCAAAAAAACTATTTTAGAGAGCACAAGTGAGTAAGTGCAGGGAAGGGCAGAGGGAGAGGAGAGAGTAACTTTAGCAGGTTCCACACAGAGCATGGAGCCTGATGCAGGGCTCCATCTCCCAACCCTGAGATCATGACCTGAGCCAAAACCAAGGGTTGGACACTTAACCGAATGAGCCACCTGGGGTCCGTGCATTTCAAAATACCTTAAGGTGAACCAGTGGACTCTGTTTAGGTAGACATGTGCCTCAAATGCTGAAAAAAGAATAAATCCCAAGAAAATCAGAACTCAGCATTCATATGAGCATGCAGGAGGGTTGCAGTTTTGAAGGCATCTGTGCCTTCCCAGAAGTCACTGAGCTCTTGTCCCTGGCCACTGGCAGCAGAGGTGTAAACTGGGCTTATGATGAGGCCAGAAAGCACTTTGAAATCCGATTTTAGCTTCCTGCCTTTTAGTCTGATTGTTAGCCACCAAATATTAGGAGAGAGGAAGGCAAGGCACCTACTGTCACTTTTCACCTTCTCTCTCCCCCAGCCCTCTCTCACTGCCTCTTTCTTACCCTGCTTCAGCTCCCAGAATTTCCTGGCTTTCTGTGTCCCAGGAGAACCATCTGTGCTTCAAAGTTTTTCATGCACTAGATTTTATTATTTATAGATGGCAGGACATTGGCGCTGGTGTTTCAGATGCTGTGGTGTATCTCCCTGCAAATCTCTCAGCCTCTGTCCAGCCCCCAACCCCGGTCAGTATCTCTGTGAGCTGGTACAGGTCAGCCCAAGTGCATAGTAGTCACTTCGGCAGTTCCGTGTGATAAGTGTGAAACCCTGGCTGTGCCGCCTTCTCTCAAGGGCTGGTCCAGGTCTGTGAGTTGTCCCTCTGCTGCCTAACAAGGCCTAGTTCATTACGAAGGCAACAGCCCCCTGGCAGTGTTCCCAGCTGAACCTGGAAGCACTTGAACCTCCTGGTTCCAATAACTAAAGCACTCAGATTAACCTTTATGTTGGTGAGTGGATGCATACTGCCACTTCTCTCCAGCCAGGGGGTGGTGCTGCTGCCACACTGCTGTGCCTGTCATCCAGCCTGCCCAGGGCTCCAGGGTGCTGCCCTCCTTCCCCTGGAGTTGAGTGCTCTGCTCCTCTGTATCGAGATGTGAGGGGATTCAGAACCCAGCCTAAACCAACACGGTGGCCTTTCCAGTCACCCAAAGAGCCAGATTAGTCCCTAACCCCACAGGGACACATTTCTACCTTTATTCTGGATTCCTGCTGCTGCTCTAATAGACAGACATTCAGTTAAACTTATTAAAAAAAAATTTGGAAGAGAACCTATTGAAAGTTACTTTCCTACCCTGCCCTTGGGTTCTGGGAGCCCTGCTCAAGCTGGGTATTGGAAGCGGAGTCTTCAGGGTTTGTGGGCAGCAGGAGGGCAGTCCCTGACTGCTCCCTGGAGTTGTGTGCAGGACGTCATGCTGGCACACATGAGTGTTTTTCTGGGAGAGGCAGTCCTAATCTTTCTCTGGGTCTTCAAGGGGGCTTCTCACCCTGGAAAGCTTAAGAACCTAAGTGGTTTTGTATACTCTGGCTCCCTCCTTCCACCTCCTGTCCTGCTTTTTTCTCTCATTCTCCTCTCCCGGTCTTGGCAGTGACACGCAGGTGAGCCAATGAGGCTTGTTCTCAGCTTGCCTGTCTTAAGGCTACCAGAGGGGTGTCCAGCTGTTCTATTCAAATGTCAAAAAAGCCAAAATTAATTTAGATAGACTGTTCACTTTGAGCTGCATTAAGATATAGGCCATGTACACTGTGAGTCTCTAAGGGGAGAGCATGGACCGTACAAACTCCTACAAGACTTAAAGAACCCTTTTGAGAGAAAATCCTGAGGAACTCACTTTGAGAAACAGTGGACTGGCTGGCCAGCCAGAGCTCCTTCAGACTGTAACATCTGTAACTCAGTCTTACCTTCTTTAACACCATGGAAGAGTGGAAGTATGCCTCGCTGTCTCACGTGGATGGGCCACGTTGGGCAGATGGTGTTCAGGACTTTTATATCCAAGGCTCACCACTGGGTAGGGTAGCTATCGGGGCATTGCTCTGTGGGGGGAAAGGGCAGCTGCTTCTTTGGAGCTAAAGCTAGGTTTTCCACCCCTCAGTGTGCATACACGCCAGAGCCTGGACACTGGCCTCCCACCCTTACTGTGTAGCGTGGGCAGCCCTTGGCTGGCAGCCCCTGCGGTCTTGGGCAGTGGTATGGCTACCAGAAAAGGAAGAACATTGTCTTTGTCATTGTCACTGCACCTTGATTCTACCTTTTGCTCATTTCCTATCTCCAGTGGCTGTTTCCACCTAAGGGAGGTTGGGGGGGCGGGGGGTGGTGGCAGGAATGACTGCTGTCTCCTTTCCAACTCTTTTGCAGGTGGCCTGCACCTGCAGCCCTGAGAATGGGCTGATCAAAGCTTTTTTCCTAAGATTTGCATGAGCTTGGGGCGCCTCAGTGTCTTTAGTCAGTTAAATGTCCACCTCAGTGCCTCAGTCAGTTAAACTGACTCTTGGTTTTGGCTCAGGTGGTGATCTTGGGGTGGTGGGGTGGAGCCCCACATCAGCTCTGGCCCTTGCCCCCCCCTCTTACATGCACATGCATTCCTCCCCCCACCACACACACTCTAAAATGGATGAATGACTCTTAATAAAAATGCACCAACAGTTCTGAGCCTGGATACCACTTTGTCAGCAGAGAAACTGCAGAAGCTATTTCACTGGGTTCAGGCGTCATCTAGTGGTGTTCCTATGTTCTGATTTACAACAGCAGTCATATAAACACTTAGCAACGCAGAATCAAGTCCCCACAACCCCCAAGAGTCTGGGGCCTGAGCTCTCTTCACAAGGCAGGAAGCCCTGGGGACGGCTCTGTCATCTGCTTCTGGGTGGTGCTGGGTCGGTACTAGGCCAGCCAGTGAGGAGCAGCTGACCTGACACCTTCTGTCTTAAGCATCCAGGGGGAACTAGAAGCCGAAGCAGAGAAGATGCGGGTGTCCCAGCAAGAACTGCTTTCCGTTGATGAGTCTATTTATGCCCCAGACTTTGATGTGGCTGCCCCCCAGATCAACAGGAACCTCATCCAGAAGGCTGGTTACCTTAATCTGAGAAAGTAAGAATGCCATTGCTTGCTCTTTCTGAAATCAGCTTTCCCTCAGAGTGGCTATAGGGCGTCCGCTCAGTGGAGGGTGGGGGTGGGCAGACTGGGGAGTGGTGGGCCACCCCTGGCCTTCGTCACTCTGGGCCTGTACAGATAGCCCACTCTTAACCAGCATCATAATGGACCGTAGGATTACTGACCCTCCCCACTCTTGGCCCAGGCCCCAGAGGGGTGACTGCTATGTGGTTGAGGCCTGCCACTAAGGCCAGAGTCTGTGAGCCAGCAAGCATTCAGGTCATCCCGGTTCACACAGACTGATCCACACTGGAACACTCTGGGCACTTTGAACTGAAGGGAAGATGAGCAGGCTTCCTGTGTCCAAGAGCAGGCGGAGGCTTTTGGGTGTGGTGAAGACCTAGGTTCAGTCAGGCCTCCTAGCTGGGCCTCAGTTGCATCACCCACAGAACAGAGCTGCTCATCACACCTTCTAAATAAAGGTGTTACAAGAACATTCCTAGTAGGTCATTCCTAGGAGATAGTAAGCACTCAGATGTTAGCTATTACTGGTTTTTGGAAATAATTGTAATTATTGAGGCAGAAAACCTAGTGCCTTGCACATAGTTGCTACTTGATCAGCACTGAATCAAGTAAGTGCTATTTCTCAAATGGAGACTCCACAGAGAGAAATTGCCAGCTGTTTTCTTACCAAGGTGGAACGAGATCATGAGTTAAATCTCTCCTTTAGTTTGTATGGCTAGAGAACCCTACAAGGTTGGTGTTACTTGCCAGTTACTGGATATTCCTCCTCTAAGCAGCTCATTAAACATCCAGTTTGAGCAAAACTCAGTGTGGTAAAGCCCCACAGGATTCGGGGTGCTGGGAGCCACGGTGGCCCTGGTGACTCTCTCTCTCTCTTTTTTTTTTTAATAAATTAATTTTTATTGGTGTTCAATTTACCAACATACAGAACAACACCCAGTGCTCATCCCGTCAAGTGTCCCCTTCAGTGCCCGGGTGACTCTCTCTTGACTGAGAACAGTTGGGCTCTGTGTCTTTGAGAAATGACCACTAGGTTTCCAGTTTCCAGTGGGGATGGACTGATCTGTTTCCAGATCTCGGGAGGAGCCAGTGTCTGGCTGCCAGTGGGTGTGTACGTGCCATCCCACAGTGGAGCTGGCCCTGGACCAGCATCTCCCATGTAAGCAGAGCCCATAACTTCCAGGTCACTCAGGCTAAGTGGTACCTCTTCCACTCCTTTGCATTTGGATTATTTCCAAAGCAGTTTTGCTTTAATGTAAAGAAACATTATTTCTAAAATGCCACTAGTACTCATCCAGAGGCAGCAAGAACTTGAGGTGCTGGGTACACTCCCCAGTACCAGCAGGCTTTCTAAAACCACAATTCTTACAGTAAAACAGGGCTGGTCACTACCACATGGGAGAGGCTTTACTTCTTCACACAAGGTGGGAACCTCATGTGTCAACCCCGGGGCGCCGTGGCAGGAGGCCTGATCCAGGACCTGGACAACTGCTCCGTGATGGCGGTGGATTGTGAAGACCGGCGATACTGCTTCCAGATCACCACGCCCAACGGAAAATCGTAGGCCACACGGGTGTCCTTGGGACGAGAGCGAGTATAGTGACTCCACCCACCCCTGCCAAGGGCCTCGTCCCTCCATGCCGGCTGCTCTTGGGGAGGAAACTTTTCTGTCCTGTTTAAGCAAGCACACAGGCCCCCTGTGAGATCCACTGTGCCTTATTTAAGGGGTCCCAGTGCAGATTTGCCCCATGGCTTTGGAAGAGACATGACCGCTGTGTGGCAGGCAGCTGTGGAAGGAGCTGTTTGTCAGCACAGAGGCTTGGGGAAGGCTGTGGCCGCTCCTGCCTGCCCCACAGCTGAAACTGGAGATGGGGTGGTGGGCTCAGTGATGGCACTGTCCCCAGAGACCCCCGTGAGCTTCCGGGACCCAGCAGAAGTCACCTGGAGTCATTCACAGATCCCACTACAGTGGGGACCCCTCTGAGCAGTTCGAAACTGTGCTCCAAGGGGCCAGCACCGCCCATCCTTAGGTTGCTGCTGCTGGATTTGCATTTGCTTCTGTGTGGGGTTCTGAGCTGAGATCCTAAGTGGACAGGAGCATGTCCGGGCAAGCTGGTGCAAGCCGACCTTTTCCTTGACAGGCAGGGTGGTTTCAGACTTTGTCCTTCTTCCTGGGTGGCAGGAGCAGACCGGGATCCCAGTTGTGGTCCTGTGCAGTCACTTAACTCCTTGGTCTTCTCAGTTATAAGACAGGGGTGGGATCTATGCTCCCCACCTCCCACAGATGTGGAGTCCCTGGAAAGGGTTAAGCCCCCACCACAGGTAGGGCAGTGTTACCTGCCTCCCGTTCTGTCTCCCCCCATGGGGAGGGAGGTGTGGAGTGTCTGCTAACCCCTGTGGGCGTGGTTGGGAGGAGGGACCAGGGGCTCCTGGCAGCTCCAGAGTCTGAGAGCCCACGAGATGTCCACGCTTGAGGACCCACAGCCTCCAGCTGGTAGAGCTGAGCCTAGCTGCTCACTTTATAGATGAGAAAGCACAGGCCCAGGGGAAGTACGTGTGTGTCCAGGATCACACGGTGATGGAGCAGCAAGCCAGAACCCCATTTTCTTTCCTTCCTGGCATGCTGCCTCCTGGCCCTTCCCGTGGGGCCACCACTGAGTTCAGTGTCTGTGAATAAGCCTCAGTCACAGGGGTTTGGGAAGCACTGACTTGGATGCACTTTATTTCAGGGGAATAATCCTCCAGGCAGAAAGCAGAAAGGAAAACGAAGAGGTAAAGGTTTTGTTTTTTCACCTGTGTCCTAGTCTAGCGGGTGACTGGGCTCCAGCAGACTCTTTACTGTCCTCTCTCCACAGTGGATATGTGCCATAAACAACATCTCCAGACAGATCTACCTGACTGACAACCCAGAGGTAACTCGTGCCTCCTCCCCTGCACCCCCGGCCTTGCTCAGTGTGAAGGGTGAGCACCCGTCCTGGACTGAGCAGGACCTCCTGTGCGTTTGTAGGCAGTTGCCATCAAGTTGAATCAGACGGCTCTCCAAGCAGTAACTCCCATTACAAGTTTTGGAAAAAAGCATGAAAGTTCGTGCCCCAGGTAACTAAATGCCGTGGGAACGTGGTTCGGGGGTATTTATGAGTGATTTTGTCCTCATAGCCCCCCTAGGGGTGGAGTTCAGGCTGCTGGGGAGGTGGGGTGTGTGCCCGGTCCCACCACTGGTGAGGGGCAGAGCCAGGAGCCGCAGCCGCCTGACCTCAGCGCACCCTGCCTGCTGGACCTCGACTGCAGTCAAGCAAATACGACTTGCCTCCGAGGGTCAGCTGGTCAGGGCTTCTCACATTTTCTGTCAGCAACAACAACGTTCTAGAACCAGAACAAACCCTTTTTAAAAAATAAGGAACAAAGTCACCCTTTCCACATCTGTGTTACAGGTGCTTTCACATGTGTGTTACTTTTGCCTTCTCACATATATTTTTCATATTTTTACATTTTTTGTTACTGTTCCTTTTTGTCACTATAGACTTTCATGATTTATTATTATTAGCCGTTGACTATTTAGGTGGCATCTTTTTCCTCTGCTATTATCATGTATAGTGAATATATTCATGCATCCAGCTTCACTCCTGTTTTGAATATAGCTATCAAGTTATTCCAAGAATCCCACCTTTTAACTTAATGGCAGTTACCATTTAGTTAACTGATAAAGGGCTGTATTATTGGTCATGCCAAAGGTAAGTTAAAATTAGGACTGTATCTGGTATCCATTTTCAGCAGCACGGTAGAAAGAACCCCATTAAATAAATGTTTCACAGATATTATCTGTGAGTCCAGACAGAAGTCATCAGAAAGCTAAGCGTTCACCCCCTTAGCGTAGTCTCAGCGCCGTGCGGCAGGGCGCCATTGTGCACACGCAGAACCCTGGGTGCGTGGGAAGGAGTCATGGAAGAGGAGGCCAGAGGGTAGCCAGGATTCCTTCGTGAGGGGACTGGGTGCTGTGGGGCAGAACTGGCTGTGAGGAGGGGTGGGGAAAGGCTGTCCTGCGGCTCTGTGCATGTAGGACACTTTGGATCTGGGGTGTGCAGGGAAAAGGGCAGGGCAGGGATGCCGCCCCACACGACACAGCTGGAACAACCACAGAACCTGAGGAAAGGTGCTTACAAAGGGGCAAGAGGCAACAGGTCACATCTGAGTGCTGGGTATAACCCTTCCATAGGCAGTGTGTTCACAAAAGGCAGCTCTAAGGAGGGCCTTGAGTGGAAATGGAAATACTGATCGGGCCAGCCAGCTAGGCTGCCAGCTGGGTGGGTGCACACGCCAGCCTTCTCCCTGGGGGCTGTGGGGGTGGGAGCTGGGCACATGCCGATGGCTCGGCCCTCGGCCTCTGTCTCCCTGACTTTATGATACGAGAAGATGCAAAACTAGGCCACCGTCCCGGTCCCTTTCCAGTTCGAGCAGCACTCTTTCTAGAGTGCCATGTGTAGTTTACTGGCGTTAGTAATTAAAGGTGTGCTTGGTTTCCTAAAAAACGTGTAGCTTAGATTTAATTATTCAGCAACAGATTTTTCTCCCAGTTGTAGAATCAGTAAATCACACAGAAGAATCCTGCAACAAACAAAACAGACCTCTAGCCAGCCAGCTGAACCAACACAGAGACTGGAAGGGTGTGGGTGCTGGAGGAGGGCTCCTCTGTCCCTGAGGGTCAGCTCGTGAAGAATGAATGTTTGGATGCCACTGAGGTGGGGAGAGCGGAGAAGCTATTCTTGGGAACAAAGTGCCACTCAGTTCTAAGCGAGCACCGTGTGGGCCTCTGCTGTTCTGCAGCCCGGGGCCTCCAGGACTCGTGCATTATCTGGCTCCTAAAGTACCATTTGTTTGTGGAGTAGCTGCTCTGGGCCCAGGCGCTGGGCTAGGTCGCAGAGTCTTGTTGGTAAAGGCAGGCAGAAGGTAAATAAATATTTTGTGAAAATGGAGAAAAGTGCTCTGGTGTTAAAGACGAAGGCGCTGGCCCAGAGAGGCCTGCCTGCAGAGATAGTATGTAGCCGGAGGTGAAAGATGAGCAGTAGCAGAGCCGGATTCCTGCGTCTCCGGTAGCCGGTACGGAGGCTAGAAGCCGAGAGAGCAGAGCGTGCTTGAAGAACCGAAAAAGGAGGCCAGGATGGCTAGTGTGGGCACAGGGGGATGGGAGCCAGGTGAGGTTGGGGAGGGAGGGAGGGAGGAATGGATCACGAAGGAACTTGGGGAGTCAGGAACTTGGAGAGTTGTCGAGGGGGAAGAGAGGTAGGTGTGTGTGTGTCCAGACAGAGATGATCCACGGTATGTTGTCTGAGGGCAGCTGTGGCTACGATGGACGATAGCACACACAGCGGGGCAAGCAGGGGTCCAGTCAGGGCCTATGGCAGCAGCCCAGGTGATGGCGGTGGCATCTTATATCAGGCAGGGTCTCTGCACAGGAGATGAGACTTATTTGGGGACTTGTTTTGGAGGCACAATGTGTAGGACTTGTGATCAGTGAGTTGTGAGTGGAAGGGACACGTGAGATGACGACCGTCATCTGATTGAGCACCTACATGGATGGTGGCATATTGAGAGAGGAAAGGAGTTGCTCGTGGGGACCAAGAGTCCCTTCACTTCTGGATGTAACATTGCGGAGCCCGTGATGCATCCCAGTTGTCAAGCGGTCAACCCATGACGCAGGTCTGGAGCCCTGGGGGAGTCCCAGGGCTGGGGATGTGGACACCGGCTGTGGTGGTAGACGAGGCCATCTAGGGAGGGCCTGGGTAGAAGCCTCAAGAATTCCAGCGTCTGGAGTGGAGGGAAGAACCTGCTAAAGCCACCCCGCAACGAGAAGGAAAGTGGTGTGAGGAGGAGCCAACAAAGAGGAGCTTCAAGGAGGACAGCTCCACTGTGAGCCGCTTTGATGTGGGACCTTGATCGCAAAGCGTGTCTGCCAGAGTGGTGGCCGGAGGTCACTGATGCCCCGCGTCACTGTGTGAGCAGTCGTCCGTGGCCGCCGTGCCCTCGACTGGCAGTGCGGCCTCGCCTGCTGGGTCGCCGCCGCCGGGTGCTCTTCCCCAGCCTCTGGGAGCCAAGGCCGTGGGCCCCTCCCCTTTCTCCCGCTAAGCCTCTACTCGGGGCTCCCCACCTACGAACCTAACCCCCGGAGGAGACCGGGTGGCGTCCTGCTGTTTGGGTGGGAGGCGGAGTGACATGGGCGTGCCAGGCCGGCGGCGAGGCTTCGGCGGGGCCCTGGGCTCTCCCGCGGCTGCCGGGACCACACTCCCCTTCCGGTGACGGCGGGGGTGAAGGCAGAGGGGTCTCCTTGCGGGCTCCCGCCCGGGCACTCCCCTGGCGGGGCCGTGTAAGTCATTCCGTGCAGCGTATCCCCTAGTGACACCCGAGGTGAGCGAGGTGCCCGGAGCCTCTGCCAGATGACCTAGGAAGTCAGGGTCACCTGGCGCCGTCAGCCTCCCGCAGGAGCTTGCACTCTGGCTGGGGAGGGTATGAGGATGGGACCGGTCAGATGACGGCATCGTGACACCGACGGAGGGAGCACGCGGCCCGTGGGCGTCCCCGGCCGTGCCTTCTGCCCTGCCGCAGGCTCTGGGCGGCTCCGTGCAGGGAGGGCACGGGTACGCAAGTGCGCGGGGCCGGCCGGGCTCCCGAGGAGCGGCACAGGGCTGCAGACAGCTTGGCGGAGGACTAGGAGCTTGAGCGGCGGTTGGAAAGAGGGTGTCGGGCTGGAAACGGTAACCAGGGAAAGCGTGGGGTGCGTGGGGGGCCCAGGGGTTGTGTCCGGGGGCAGAGCCGGGATGTGTTCGTTCATGCACCGAGCAGTTGGGAGTGCCTTCTGGGGGCCGGGTAGGAGCAGGATTTAGCCGCAGCCCTGCCCCTAGGCCTGCTTCCCAGGGAGGAGGCCAGAGAAGGCCTAGGTGGCGTCCTGACCGGCACATCGTGGTGCAGAATGCTGTGCCGCGGCGGGGGGTGTCCCAGGGGCCCGGAGTCCCGGAAGGAGTCCAACCAAGGACGCCAATGCTGTTCTGTGAAGCTTTCTTTGTAAAATTAGTTGAAGATCGGCTGACGTCTTCACCCTGGTCTGTAGATGTCACACTGCGCTGAGCACGTGCTCATTTGCTTGCAAAGGCACAAGGTTAAGAGGGATGTGATTTCCCCGTTTCACACTCCAGCCAGAACCTGAGAAATTCCGAGATGGAGAATGACAGGATTGTTCCCACAGCAGAGCTCCGTGTCCCCGAGGCCGATGAGCTCATCGCACCCGGGACACCCATCCAGTTCGATATTGTCCTTCCTGCCACAGAGTTCCTGGAGCAGAACAGAGGGAACAGGTACACCCCGAGGGGGGTGCGGGGTGGGCTCCTGGAGAAACGAGAGGAAACTCGAGGTCTTCTCGAGGTCTTCGGTGCCGGCAACCACCTGCCAAGGCTGTTGCTGTTCTGACTTAGAGCTCGGGAGTTCACGTGTCCTTTTAGCCGAAAAGGTCTTGATTGTCGGACTCTGGCGGTTCCCCTAGGCGCATCAACCCTTTCGGTGAGACCGAGGACGAGACATTCCCAGAAGCAGAAGGTGAGTGGCTGGGGCACTCCTTCCTCCTCACACGACGACGCGAGTCACTGAAAGGAGACGGGCACTCACGGTCCAGGGAGCCAGGTCTTGGACTGTGAAGCAAAATTGTGACCCACTGATTCTCCTCTGGAAACTCAGTAGGTCTGTGCAGTTAAGGCAGATCTTGGGTCAAACCTGAAGGGAAGTGGGCAGATTTTCTGCAAGTGTTGCACTGTTGGCCTCATCCATGCCCTTTCTGCAACTCCCACATAGAAAGTTCCCGAGCCTAAATCAGGTATCAGATTACTCCAAAACAGATCCAGAGAGAATGAAATGGTCACAACAAAATGCAATCACGGTGAGTCATAAATATGCTGTTTCATTTTAGCCAAAGACACACATCACAGCTCATTCTTGAATTTGAAGATATGTGTAAATGGAATTTAAGTTCAGATTTTTGACACGGGATGTACATCCTTAGAGTAGAGCTGACTGAAACTTGATGCTCCCTAGAGCAGAACCTGAGTTCCCAGCCAAGGCAATTTAGGAGCTAGAAGTGCTGCCAAGACCTCATTTTCACACTGCCTCATGACTGAAGCCTGAGACTCATTAGAATAAAATGGCCTTAAATTTAAAAGTAGGACCTGAGAGTTGATACTCCTTACAGAATTAGCCAGAAAGGGGGTCAGTGGAGAGAGGGAGGGAGGATCTGCCTCAGATCTGCCCCTCCGCTTGTCTCTGACTGACCTTCTATATAATTCACACCATAAAGTCTATTTAAAAAAAACTTTCGGGATCCCTGGGTGGCGCAGCGGTTTAGCGCCTGCCTTTGGCCCAGGGCGCGATCCTGGAGACCCGGGATCGAATCCCACGTTGGGCTCCCGGTGCATGGAGCCTGCTTCTCCCTCTGCCTGTGTCTCTGCCTCTCTCTCTCTCATTCTATGTGACTATCATAAATAAATAAAAATTAAAAAAAAAAAAACTTTCAAATTTACGGGAAATAACTGCTTATAATTTTACTAGTTATATTTTCCTAATCTTTTGTTACTTATTTTGAAGGGCAAGGACACTAATAGGGCAAGTGAGGAAAAAGCAGTCATCTTTGTGTAAAATGGTAGATAAATGAATTATTGTTCTTACAAGGAAAAAAAAAACGGCTTTAAACCTTCCTGATTTTGCAGTCGCAGTTGCTGTTACTCAGTTTTGTCGGTTAAATGCCATGACCAGGAAGCCAGTACTGGTTCACTAGAATCCGATAAGAAAGTCGTTTAAGATGTGCATTAGTTTATGGGGTGCCCTCACTGCCCTGCAGCAACGCCTGATGTGCACACACTGAAGGAGCCCCAATTATCAGGTCTTCTGTTCTTCAGATGTTTTCTTCTTTAGGAGGACTCTGTCAGTAGGCCCAAGAATTTTCTATCATCTAAGTGGAGAAGCTCTTATTTTCAGAGAAAAGATGCATATAGTGCCACCGGCATTAGTCACCTAGAGTTTTAGTGCTAGAAGGATGTCATCTGGTACTAAGGTCTCATTCTATAGATGCACTAAGAGGGGTGCTTCTCTAGACCTGTAGTAGTTCCTGAGACAAAACGTAGATGATAGATTTCAGGGCTCTGGCAGCGTGGATTTATTCAAGCACAGTGTTGAGACTTTTGGTGGAAAGCCTCTGTGGGAGGCAAAGCAGACCTGAGGTGTGCAGCCCGTTCCGCGCCTGGCACCGGTGACTGGCGGCAGGCAGGAAGAGAATGTGCTCCTGAGTGGAAGTCACTGTCTTGCAGATTCCCTTCTGCAACAGATGTTTATAGTTCGGTTTTTGGGATCAATGGCAGTTAAAACAGACACCACTACCGAAGTGATTTATGAAGCAATGAGACAAGTGCTGGCTGCTCGGGCTATTCACAACATCTTCCGAATGACAGAATCGCACCTGATGGTCACCAGCCAGACCCTGAGGTATGCTGTCTTGTTTCAGGCGGTCTTACCGTGCTGGCAGATTGCCCATGTAAGGCACATTTACTCATCTAGAACGTTCATACCAGAATATTCGTTTGATCAGAGTAAGTGAAGATGCTACTCATCTCTGCCCTATTCCTTTTTATATTTAATCTTATTAGGTATGTTGGGGAGAAGCTGCTCCCCTGAGTAATGGATACCTTCAAAATTTAGCGGAGAGTGAATCCTACTGTTTATAAGGTGCCATCACTCCAGAGCTGCTCTGTGTATCTCAGAGCTTGAAAAAGAAAGGGTCTTTTTAATTTCTGAATACACTGTTTTTTAAAATTCACAACAGTGAAAACAGAACACGAACCTACCTGAGTTGACTAAACCACCACCAGTAGAATCTGATTAATATTTTTTGAGATAAAAATAAAGCCAGGTGATGTTAACTACATGACTTGGGGTTTCAGGTTAATAAGATCTAGATGGGTGATGGCAGAGGACTGTCAAGCCGCGGTTGGCATAGGTAGGCTTCGCTAACATATGCACCATCTAGGAGTACTCAGTGTAGCACTTGCAACAGAACTAAATTGTGAACTGAAATGTTTTAAGTGTAAAATACAGAACACATTTCTAAGATCTCATACCAACCCCCCAAAAAGAATGCAAAATAGCTCATTAACTTTTATATTAATAAAGTGTCTAGCTGGTAGTATTTTAGATCTCTTAGATTAAATAAAGTATATTACTTTCCCGGTTTCACTCTTTGATGTGGCTAGGAAGTTTTAAATTATGTACGAAGCTTATATTTTATTTCTGTGAGACAGCAGCCCTGCTTTAGAGTCAAATGTCTAGGTTTATTCCTGGCTTTGGCTTTTGTTAGTTGTACGACCTGGGCAAGTTTTAACCTGTGTGCATTGGTTTCTTCGGCTGTAGGATGAAAATAACCATATCCACACCTCATAGTGCTGTCATGAGGAGTTAATACACATAAAATACACTTAAATATTTACAACCACAACTGGCATCAAAGAAAATGCTCAATAAATGTTAGCTTCTAAAAAGGTAAGCAGGATTTCATTAACAATCAGAATATAATTTCTCCCATTCATTAAAATCAGTCCTTTTTATTATAAACCTTATAGTGAGAATAAACTTCCTATAAATAAAACCTTATAAAATAAAGGTTAAAACCTTATAATAAAACATATTTATTTAAAGGTTTTCTCCAAGCATGTCCTGCACCTTTTATGGGCACTGGCTCCCTGTTCTTATAATCTCCACCAAAAAGATCAGAGTAAATACATACAAAAGCATTGTGAAAAATGATAGTACATCAAAGAACACTATCAAAGTACAAAGACAACCCACAGAATGGGAGAAAATATTTGCAAATCATGTATATAAAGAACTCATACGGAAATCAACAAAAAGACCTCAAAACAAAAAATGGACATAGGACCTGAGTAAACATTTCTCCAGAGAAGATATAGAAATGGCGAACAAACACAAAGAAAGATGCTTAAGTGTCCTTAGTTATTAGGAAAATGCAAATCACCCAACAATCACAAAGAGTGATAACTAAGTGTCCTTAGTTATTAGGAAAATGCAAATCAGGTCCACAGTGAGATATCACTTAACACTTGCTAGGATGGCTGTAATTTTTTTAAAAAGGAAAATAAAAGCACTAGTTAAGAATCCATCGCTGATGGGAATTGTTAAGACAGTCCAGCCACTATAGGAAATAGTCTGGCAGTGCTCCATGAATTAAACCCAGAATTCCCAAAGAACTGAAAACAGGTGTTCAAATAAAAACGTTTACACTCATGTTTGTAACTCATGATAGCCAAAGAGTGGAAATAATCCAGACATCTGCCAACCAAAGTAATAGGTACACAAAACGTGGTATTTTACATATAGTGGAATATGAGCCAGCCTTAAAGAGGAATGAAGTCCTTGCACATGGTGATTGTTGAACCCTGAAAACATTCTGCCAAGTGAAAGAGGCCAGACTCACAGTGTCCGCCACTGTGTATGGTCATTTACACGAACGATCCAGGGTAGGCAAATCCAGAGAGAGAGAGAGCAGGTTAGTGGTTGCCAGAAGCTGAGAGGAGAATGAATGGAGAGGGACTGCTTAATGGGTGCGGAGCTTCCTTGTGAAGTGATGAAAGACTTTTGGAATCTGACAGTGGTGGTGGTTGTACAATGGGGTTAATGTACCAAATGTCAACAGTGATCAGTTTTATGTCAGGTGTATTTTACCGCAGTACACACACAGACGCATCCCTGAACTGGAATTCACATTTGGGGACAATTTAAAAGTCCCACAGAAAATTGGACCTTAAGAGGGAAATCCATGTTACCTGATTTAGATTGTTACAAATATGTTTGCATTTATGAAAAAATTTTGCAAAATACCTAAACTTAACCCAACTTCAGGGAAATTGTTTATGTATTTTTTTAATCTTTAAATTCATATTCATTAGTAGGGACGTATAAAAATATAACATTTATTTAGCTTTGTAGATTACTAAAAATTCCATACACATTTTCTCCTTGTCTTTACCACCTCTTTGAAGTGGGGCTTCTTATCCGTTTTACAAACAAAGCAGTTGAGAAGTCAGGGTGACCTGCACAAAATCAGTGCTGAGCAGCCAGGTTATAGTCCTCTGATTATAAACCCTGTGTTTTAACAAGTATGACTGCATGTATAACTGCTTTACTGAGATATGACTTAAATACAATTCACCCATTTAAAGTATTTTTAGTATGTTCAGAATTGTGCAGCCATCACCATAAACTCTTTTCAAACATTTTCATCCTCCCCAAAGAAAACCCATAGCCATTGGCACCCGTTCCCTTTCCCCTGAAGCCCACCCAGCCGTAGGCAGCCATTAGCCACTAATCTTCTAGGTCTATAGATTTGCCTGTTTGGGACACTTCACATAAATGGAATTATAACCATTTTTTTAAACACAGATAATAGACTTTTTGCTTTCACCCACAGAATTTATAGCAAATCAGCAATAGATAATATACCACATTTAGAAAGTAGAGATTTGTATGTATATATGACAGCAGTAGACAGTGGGATGCAGTGTGTTTTCCCAGACACATCAACCTGTTACTAGGTGGTGCTCCGAGTGCCCTTCAGGGAATGCACGTGGACACCTTCGTAAACAGTACTCTCTGCACACCCAGACAGACACAGAATAGTTTTGTTAAAATCTGTCCATTACTTTCACCCCACTCCAGATTTAATTTTAAAAAAATGTTTAACACTGCAAGGGAAAGCCTGTAGTCAATAAATGTCTGTTGGGAAGCGTGCTGTGCAGAACCCAACCCATCCATGCTCTATGTCAGCACCCTGCAGAATGACAAAGCTGCCTTCCTGGATGAGCCCTGAAACATGAAATTCTCCCTTTGTTGTCTTCTTCTGTAAAGATACACCCCGAGCTTTAAACTACACGGGTTCAACAGAGGCAGGAGTCGTGGCACATGCTCCCTCCCTGTGGACAGTCACGCAGAGCCATGTCACCTTGGCCTCAGCCAGGCCTTCTGTTTCCATGTTTGGAGATTCATGTGATTGCGTTCTGAACTTCTAAGCATATGTTTATCCAACGTGTGTAATGTAATGAATCTCTTAAAATTTCAGGTTGATAGATCCTCAGACTCAAGTAACAAGGGCCAATGTAAGTACCTGCATACACATGGACTCTACTGGTTTATTCCTTAAGTCAAAGTTGGCACTTTATCACTCTTGCCAAATCTAATGTCTGTCTCTACTAGTGCACCTTTTCCGTGATGTTTCCTAGGGAGAATGACTTGTTTTTGAATTCCAGTTGTGTGATACTCAGTCTCTTCCTGTTATTTCCAGTTTGAACTCACCAGTGTCACCCAGTTCGCTGCTCATCAAGAGAACAAGAGGCTGGTTGGCTTCGTGGTCCGCACGCCTGAATCCACAGGGGGAGAGGCTCTCAGCACATACATTTTTGAAAGCAACTCAGAAGGAGAAAAGGTCTTATTATTTTTTTCATCTTAGGATTCCATAATCTGTCCAGAGATTTAAAGGGGTTTTTGTACCATCCCCTGGATATTTAGATGACTATGCTGTTTCCCCCAGTGAGTTTAGAGAATACGTCTAGGAAGGCCCCACTGAAAGCAAACCGACTGGAATATGGTTTCCCCATAGAAAGTACACGTCATCCTAAACAGTGATGAAGAATGTTCACAGTGGGATATGGTTATTTAGAAGAGGTATCAGGAAATGTTAAAAGCAATTGCCTTCAAGTTTCTTCTTTTAAAATTAAAACAAAAGTTACAATAAATAAAATCTAGTTTCAGGGCAAGCCAAGGAAGCAGACATCAGGAAACTGTTGTTTATTATGAAAAATATTGTGAATGTATTCACTACTTAGAATTAATCAAAATTAACCAACTCTTCTTTCAGCAAATACCCATTTGCTGTCATGCCCATGAATATGCTGTGGCTGACTATGAGAAAAAGCAGTAAGATATTCCTTTAAGAAATGTACGCTCTGGGATAACCTCAGTTGCCACTGAACCTGCAACCACTGGCAACAAGAAGCCCTGTGTGATGATTGTCCTACAGCCAGGTCCTTGAGCAGTGACCTCACTGGACTTCCATAATCACAGTTTTCCCCTAAAGTTCTTTATCCTTTTCCACCTTTGCCAAACACTGCTTTTCTTGTCTTGCAGATATGTTATGCTATTAATTTGGGAAAAGAAATCATTGAGGTTCAGAAGGTAAGGTGCATTTTAGTTCTGGTTTTATCAACTCCAAAGATCTATATACATACTCAGATTTCTCTCAAAAAGAAGGATGTTCACTAGGCAGCATGGCCAAATCAGATTTCCTGTGTGCATTCTAACCACCAGACTAGCCAGGTCCACAATCACAGGTGGCACACATGGAGTTCTTAATAAATACCACTGCTGCAGCTCTTGCTTTATATTATTTTTTTTTGCTTGCTGTTGTTGGCTAGATATCCCTTTTCAAATGAAGGTGATGGAAACGTCTACCATTGCTCGAGGGCTCTGCTCCTCAGAGCATCACTGATCTCCCCTGGAAATGCACTAGATGTGAAGGTTCCCAAACCTCCCCTCCCTGTCAGCTGCTTACAGTCCTCCATTCACCAAACACATATCTAAGAGCCGAGTTTATAAAAGAAAAACCTTGGAATTAAAGCAGTGAGCAATACAGGTCCTGCTGCAGGAGGCTTCTGGTTCAGCACGTGCAGTGAGGCTTCCGGTCGTGGAAATGGCCTGTATCTGCACTGCTTAATATGCAGATTGAATGTCGCTAATGTGACTGTGGACCTGGGTTTTTACATTTTATTTTAAGCAATAATGTCCAGCTAGTAAGTACCACACCGGCAGTTCAGTCGTTAGGAGGTGATGAGGGGGTAGGAAGGCCAAGAACTAAGGCCAACACACACGAAATAGTAGCAGGCAGTGCGAGTTAGTGTTTTATGGTCTAGATCAGGAGTAAAGGGCAAGACGGCAGCCTTCTAGGCTTACATCTTTTGGAACACCAGAGCAGCCATATACGGTATGTAAAGGAATGCTGTGTTCCAATAAAACTTTATATAAAACAAGTGGTGAGCCCACATGGCTGTGGTTTGCCAGCTCTTGGGATTGCAAGACAGAAGGGAGTTAAAGATCCAGAAACAAAGGTACTGTAAAGGAAGTTCCTCTCTGGACTCTTCCTGGGAAGATGATTATGATTTGTCTACATGAACGATATTTTTTGGCTGAGAGCAAAACCTTGCCCTAGATTCTAGGGAAGTAATGCAATTGAGTTTTTTCAGAGAAGCAAGGAGACTTCCCTTGAAGGCACACACAGAAGGAATAAGGCCAGATTACAGAACATCATGAAAGCCAAGCCCGGGGGGAGGGGGGGGGTCTTAAGTGCATTTTAAGCGTTTTCTTTTCTCCTTCTTAAACTCCTCTAACTTCAGGATCCAGAAGCATTGGCTCAGTTAATGCTGTCCATACCACTAACCAATGATGGAAAATATGTACTGTTAAACGATCAACCAGATGACAGTGACGGAAGTCCAAGTGAAAATAGAGGCGCAGAATCTGAAGCATAACTCTCTTGGGCCTTTGGGGGACGAGCACCCAGGAAGGAGAGCTACCCCCCTAAAGGTTTTCAACTTCTTTGATATACAGGCCCACGACCTGGTTTCAGAATGCTGACAATCGTTTGTGGAATGTCCTCTGGATGCCTTGATACTGAGAGATGGGAGGTAAACAGAAATGGTTGACAACCTTCCTACCCATCTACAAATGTTATTTTAGGTGCTTTGTGGGGTAAGTCTTCTTAGATTGTACTGTTCAGTGCTCAGAATGAAAGTTAATGAAAAAATGCATTGTTCACTTTATTCAATTGTCATCTCTTCAGTTTCTAGTACTTTTTTAAAAATGGTAAAAGCCTAGATTTATAATTTGATAAACACTAAATATTTCCTATTAATATAACCTATTTTTGTATTTTACTTAATGAACTTTAAGTGCCTGTCACTCTGAAAATTGTGTATTTATAATCAAGCTTGTCTCACAGTTGGACCTAATAGCATTAATTTGTGCACTCAAGTGAGGAGCCCTGCTTTAAGGCCTGAGCACTAGCAAAACTGCAGGTCTAGTTTTGATCGTTTTTCCAGACATGCAATAAAAAGACTAGCAGATGAGGACCACAAAGGATGTTCAGTTTTACAATGGAACCTTAATGAATGAACATTCAGAAGTTTATGGTCCTCTAGATACTGTTTTTAGTGGGGATCACCATGGAAGCTGTACCAGTTCCTGATTCTCTTGAGCCAGACCCTCCTCAAGGAAGGGACCAATGAATTTTAAAACTCACCTGAAGCACAGCTGGTTGTGGGGCTTGGTGCAAAGTTCCTGTTTCCACCCCTACCTACAAAATAAGTATAATGATCTGGAATTGACATAGTGTGTTTAATTATAACCAAGTTCAACAGAATATCCTTGTCTTTGTAATAAATTAACCTAGCAATGAATGCTAGCAAATAAAAACTATCATTCTGTTTCTTTCTTTTGCTTTTTATGGGTGTTTTCTGGAATATCCTCAGAAGAAAACTAAAGGCTGTTCTGTAGCTTCAATGTTAATTTCCAAAAAATTAGGACATAATGAAATCACATCAGGGAGGGAGGTACCATCAAATACTTCTATTAACAGGGATACAAGGTGATCGCAGTATCAAGTTGTTAAAAGGTGTTGCTTTTAAAATGGTGGATTAATAGAACAGTTTTTGTAATCCCAAACTAATGTTACAGGGTCCTCAGGAATCCATTTCTATTATGTGTACATCATGGTATTGGTTCAGTGTTAATAGTAACTTACAAAAATGTGTATATCCTAACCAAACCAAATTAAATCAGTAAGTTCTCTGGTAGGCCACAAAAGCCACAGTCCTGAATTTCTTTTTCTTGCTTAGAATTGTTCAGGGTAGGAAGGATGAATCCAGTCATGAACAATACTGTTAGAAACTGAAATCAACTTTTTTCATTAGTAAAACTTTAAAAAATGTGTGGCTTAACTAAGCCACAAAGCATGCAAATCATAAGAAAAAAAAGGGCTGGAAATCCGGTACATTAAAACTGCGTCACAAAAAACAGAGTGAAAATAAAATTAACATATTAAGCAAGCACAGATGACAAAAATTTGTTTACAGTCTGCCAATTAGTAAGAAAAAGATACACTGAAAACAAAACAGAATAAAAAGGGTTTTAAATATGTTCAATTTCATAAAATAATCAAGGAAATGCAAAGTAAAACTGTGAAGTGATATATCCATCAGACTGTTGAAACGTGGCAGGAAATAGGGTGATGGGGAAGGTCCCCCACTGGTGGGATGGGGAAGCTTGGCATCTGTATCCATCGCGCTTGTACCTGACCCTACCACCTGGATTCACTCTTCACACATATGCCCAGAGACACATACATACAGTAACAGTTACAGAGTTCTACTCATAGTATCTCAAATTTGGAAATGACCCTCATGTCATCAACTGAATACTGGGAAGGAAAATTAAATGAACTCTAGTTATATGCATCTACGTGGATGGATTTCAAAACCAGTACTGAAAAAGTCCTTTAAGCACATGGAGTCCATTTATAGTAACTGTTAAAAACAGGCAAACCATCACCATGTTACTTAGAAAAATACAGATAGGCTGTAACACTAGAGAAAAGGAGGGAATAGTTCCCACCAAAATTCTGCATTGTGGTTTCCTCCAGAGTGGCAACGTGAGCTGAGATCTGAGGCAGGAGCAACAGGCTTTTTTACCTACATGGTGGCTACCCAAGTGTTATTTATTGTAGATTTTATTTATTCATGAGAGAGACACAGGCAGAGACACAGGCAGAGGGAGAAGCAGGCTCCCTGTGGGGAGCCCGATGTGGGACTCGATCCCAGGACCCCAAGATCACGACCTGAGCCAAAGGCAGATGCTCAACCGCTGAGCCACCCAGGTGTCCCAAGTGTTGTTTTTATGCTCTCTAGTACACACATACTATATTCTTTTGTCTATGTTTCCCATTACTCTGTGAAATCTATGGCACGAACCAGGGACAGCAATCACCAAATCTCTCATTGAGGTTGG